GCGGGTTCAGTCGTAGGGCTAGCCACGCGGACTGCATTATCACAGCCAAGGGCCCTAAAGACTGGCATTGTAAGACGAAGATGGCTCGACCTCTGTCTTTGCCACTTCCTAAATTAGGCTCTTGCGGCTGAGTGGGCTGGAGTTTCTGGAATTTGAAGATGAAAACAGGACAGGACCCGTGAACAATTTGATAAGAGTGTATTCTCTTAATATAGAACAGAATAAAGTGGGCTCTCATATGAACTGGACGCGTGGCTGACCCAAAAACAACAACCACGCGCTACTTACATCAGGGGATTTGCGTTAAAGTTGCAAGACTGAAGCTCCTGTTAGTACTGACAGCAGATAGATTCAAAAGGGTGACATCAAAGAGAACACTGTCCTCATGCTGATATTCTCGACCTGCAAAGCCCGATGATTCTCCCCCTTGTCATGGTGCTCGCTTAGACCTCCTTGGCTCCCTCCACGTTGCCACTTGGTCTGACCCACTATCCAGCATACCCGGTTCTCAATATCAGGGCACAGACACGGAAGCTTGCCCATCCGTTCACTGACTTGGCTTCCAAAGTGCACTTGGCTGGATAGGGAAAGATGGCCCGGGCGATCTGCTCACCATGTTAGCACAATGGAGTGTATTCTCCGAACCCAAGCTTGTTGGTGAAAATTTATCACGCAGATATCAGCCCAAAGGTACGGCCGCTCAAGTCAGCCAGTGCAGTCCGGCAACTGCTCCCAACTCATCTGAGTTTCCACAGAATGCCCCAATTGAAGGAAAGACAACGGATTCGGTAGTGCACCGGTGGCGGCGCTGGCCTCCTATGGGCTTGGGTCTGGTATTGGTATAGGGTAGCGAGCATCAAACTGCGACTGACCAACGGCGACGAACTCGCAGCCTCCCCGTTGATTCAGTACCCAGAGTTTCTAGATATTTTGAAACTCACATATTATTAATGCCTCAACAATTTCCTGGTTCTAAAGAGTTTCAACACTTACTAGAGGAACACCAAGTGGCATATCTCGGAGATAATTGTCCTGACTACTGGAACTATTGATGAAATTTCAAAGTTGAGCGAGAATCTTTGAGACTAAGGGCGATCGTAAAAGAACAACTTTCAATTTTTTCTCTCATTAACAAGTTATTATTCTAGATACCTTATCCGCATGGCTTATTGTAGCGCTGTTCCGAGCAAGTTGTTGAAACAAAAAGTCTCACAGACTAGAGTCTAACGAAGCACCTCAATTTGAACAGCATCCATAAAACTATGGGATTTTCTCTGAAGGCCGGTAAAGAAAGTCAAAGAAAAATAGAGGTTGGCCTGTAATGAACAAGGGTGAAGTAAAAACAACAACGGCCTCTGCTGGGTTGAGATAAGGAGTTTGCGCTGAATTTGGCGTGGATTTGCATCATGAAACTTAGAAACATATAGATTCATGCCATGTTCAATTTTTCTGTCAAGTCTCCCCTTCCCAAGTTTCCAACAGACCCTCATAGCATCTTCGTCATTATCCAATGGCTGCTACGTGGTCTGTGACCAGGCACTGCCAATCTGAGCTTCCATAGTAGATGGTGTTTCCGTCATTATGTGTCTGTCCTGTGCTGATGGTATCACCCAACTGCCAGAAAGCGTCACCTGCCATACCTGTTGTAGCAACGGATGTCAGTTGCCAGGGCCGCTCAATAGTACAGTGATCCGAAGGTGCACCATCTAATAGTCATGTTAGCTGCGAAATCAGTAGTCAAATAGGGATCTAGAACTTGCATTCTTCGAAGAGACATGGCTTGTTGGCGGCAACGCAAGCTGCTGCGTGGTCCTTAATCCATTGGTTGCCCCAGTCGTAGGAGACGCCCCCTTTTACCACCGTTGTCAGCTGAGATAGCTCAAATATTATTATTTTTTCCACGGAAATACTCACAAGAATTTGGATACAAATGGAACGTTCCAAAATCAAGAGTAGGAATGGTCAAATGTTTCGCGAAATCGGTTCCTTCCGAGAACCCGTAGGGATAGCTGGTGTCTCCAGCAAGACCCATCCCCTCATCGCCGAGTGTCACCATATGGTTGGGATCTAAGCTCTTGATATACTGAGATGTGGAAGTTGCCCACTGGTGGATCACGTCGGTACTGCACCCCTGGCAGCGAGGCTCATTTGCCAGTTCCCAAGCCAGGATACCCGTGCTCGACTTATACCGATTCACCAGAGTTTGGACGTACTTCAAGTACTGCGTCTGCGCTGCGGTATTTGTGTACCATTCCTGGTGAGTTCCTCCGAAAGCGTTGGTGTAGGCCTTGATGCCTCCGTAGTCATCCCAGTTGTTCACAAAGTTGATGATGAGTTTGAGCCCACGGCTTGTTGCTGCCGACACAACGTAGTCGAGCCTCTGCAGACCGTCTGCTCCGGTGTTAATGGTCGAGCCAGAGGCTGAGAGATACTGGAAGTACACAGTTCCAGATCCAGGGATGCTGTTCACGTCGTTGAAGCCCCATATACGGAGAATTTTGATGCCCGACTCTTTGAGATGGTCAAAAACAAGGTCAACGTCAGCATTGTTGGTCAAGAAGCTGCACCAGTAGCAATTAGTTCCGGCAAAGTATTTTGTCACTCCGTCAATTGTAAACTTGGTTCCGCTTGCTTTCGGGAACCCAGTACCGGTGGGTGGCGGGCTTGATGTTGTCGACGTGGAGGTGGCAGCACGGCTTGTCGATGACGTTGTAGAAGTTCTGGATGTCACCAGAGTTGAGGATGAAGCCGCTCCTGTTCATTGCATCTCCGGTGAGCTCTTGTTTTGATTAAATTAAGACTCACACATGCTCTTACCTGGGACACACTGAGAATACCATTCATTCTGATATTGGCAATAGGAGCCAGCCACGCAGGTAGTCGGGCCTGTCCAACTCACACCACCGCATTGTCCGTAAAGGGGAGCTTGCGCCGACGCGATTGCCGCGAGGCAAGGCCAAAGATAGAGACTTGAGAGTCTCATATTCCCTCTCTTTTATAGACTTAATTAACAGGAAGAGATTGCGGGCAATGATGCATCACAACATTTCATTTTTATGACCTCAGTTTCGAGCTCTATTTATACCTGAAAGTTCAATTATCACATGGTGTTGCTAGACTTGGCCAATATTGACATTCTTTGTGAGGGGACATTTATGGAAGTAGGCCCGCCGATCCGTCAAGAGGTAATAATTGACCTCTTTCAGCAACGGAGTTGAGTTCTCCATTAGACTCTCCACAATCCCACCAATTATTCTTTTGATTTTTGCGGGTTTCTTTAGCCTGGACGACGCGGCATGTTAAGGCTAAGTATGCATCGTACATTTCTTGAACAGAGATTGGCCATTGGTGGAAAACCCTCGGCTGGTGATGGTAAATAGCCTCTATGTTGACTGAATTATAATTATTGAGCTCCTAGCTGATGATTACGTCCCACTTCTAACACGGGTTACCTATTGAAAAATGTGTTCGGGTGTATTGTTAGTCCCTCCGATCCCATCCGAACATTTCTTGTAGCCATTTGTAGGAGATAATTACTCGGGCTGTCTTGCTAGTTTGTGATGGGTTCTTTGGTGACGGTTCAGAAGCGTTTGCTAGCCAATGACGGTATTAAATGCTATTTTTCTAGATGTCACAATGCTCATCAATGTCTTGACTTACGTACTCACTATAATCTAAAGTTCAAGATGGGTTGGGGCTTTCGCTTTCGCTTTCGGTAGTTTGCATGCATATCTCCCTTTAAGCCCGGAGATATCTCTCGGTAACCGACACGAGTTCAAGCATGCTGATACATAGCCACAGATTCTATATACGGTAAACAACGTCTTTCCCGTTTGAAACCTTTACCTGGCCACCAATGCGTAGCAAAGGGTTAGGGATCGACGAGAATAGAAGCTCAACGTTAGATCTTAGCGACGTAGGGATCTGAGTTGCCCTAGGAGATATAATTGCTTCATCCCTGCCTGGTCAAGGATGCTGCCCGAGGGATTCACTATACGTACGCCCTAATGAGGCATGAATGGAACTTCTTTAGTTGCTGCTAGATATGTAGTAGCGAACATTACGTGAGAGTGATTCTACTCAGACGCATGGTATGATGAGATAAGGCCCGTCATCCGTAAGAATTGTATCAGGTAGCCTAAAACCTGGGGAATACAGATAACGTACCCGATGATCGCAATGCAGCTTTCTTGTTCATCCAACAAAACAAAACCGGATGGAGATGATTATTCATAGTAGTGGGTAATCTTACAGACACGGGGCAATATGATCTGAAAATCCCACTGAGGCGTTTCATATTTGCAAATAGTCAGATCTCAGTGCCGTGCTGCCGATAGTTCGCTGCGTGTAGGCCGTGTGCGGAAGTGCTGTACGCATAGTTGCCTGAAACAATTGCTTGCCTTGACGATCTTCTCTAAGCCCAAATGTATTCTTGTGAATTTGGAGGCAAAGGTACTCAGTCCTGTTGGCACTTTGGCGTGCGTGTGCCCTGCCGCCAACATGAAACCTGCTCGCCACAATGACTATCCCTCCCACATAGGTGGCATCCGAGACTTCTTTCATGTATGAAAGCCTGATACTTCATCCAAAGTCCCATTACCAGGCTAGGTGAACATCATTGGAATGTAATTACGGGGTATGACGACGCCATGCTGTCCCGCGCCTCAAACATACTGCAACCAATTATAAGCCCTCACTCCTTGCTCAGAGTAGGTTCTCGGACGTATTTATTATCTCGTATATGGATGTGTTAGTGAGAAATACTCATACCGGAAAAGATCAGAGAAACGGCAACTAATGGAACGGCTTATCAAGACAGACGCAAACCTGCTGCTTTTAGAATAATCTCGCGAAGTGTCTTAACTAAAAAAACTATATAAGGGCTCCTCTATATCTCTTTGGAAAACACTTATTCTTCAAACCCAGATCACCATCCTCATCTCTACTACTGCCATTTACCACTCATCCTACCAATACATACTATTCAACATCTCTTCAAGATGCATTTCATCTCAATCGTCGCTGCCCTTGCCCTTGCCAGTGGTACCCAAGCCTGGACCAAAGATGGCCAGGGAAATTGGGTTGCCAATAACAATTGGTGGGTTATACGAGGCAGTAAGTGGATTTACCCAGACAAATATCAGTTTCGAGTTTCGCAACGCAAAGCTCATACAATCCTTGCACTTTAGCGAATGTGCATGAGTCATGCACAAGAATGAATGACAACACTGTCATTTATCGCAACAACGAGGCTTGTGCTTACTGGACTGACGGCGCTGGTACTATCAAGCGCGGACATAAGTGTATTCGCCCTCGAAGTTTGCGCAAATGGTGAGACACTAACATGAAATCTTAGGCTGCAAACTGACTAACCAGAATCCTTCGACTGCTTCGTGCGTCTAAGTTGGCCGTTTCATGGAACGTTAGACCAAATAATTTAGCGGTTGGATATCGTATTCCGTGACCTAAAAGGCCGTTCTTCTTTGTATTTTTTTTCTCCATTCCATATGGCTTTTCTCTACACGGAGTGAACGATGCCTAGACGGAAGAATATATCCTCAATTGAACTAGATTAGATAAGTCAGATTAGTGAATTCTGGATTATACCGATAAGCATGACATCTTTTCCCACTGTTCTGATCTTGGTTACCAAGAAGTAAAATCCATTATCTTTCATTCTTATTTCGAGTTTAGCACTTTGTCCTTGTTTCTTCCCTTCCTTTTTTGTGGAGGAGGGGAAAATGAATTTCTATGATCACGATATGCCAAAAAAGCAGTGCTGTATGGGCCTGATAGTAATGACAAATGACTCAACGTCTGTGAAAGATTTTAGTATTATCGAATACGACTAGGTATATTGACTTGTCTTTCGGCATTAGGCTTTAAGAATCTTGGCTAACCAACGTTCTGATGTAACATCCTCTTGCTGCATCGTGTGGACTCATCTTATAGTATCTCATTGGGTACTTGCCGGGACAAGATTCTGTAGGTAACGTCATAAACTCATATTCTGTCTGAATTAGGAAGATCAACGCATATGAGGGGCATGGAGTTGCATGATTGTGACGGAATAGCGGGATGGAGATTCGGAGTTAACAAACCCAAACCCCATACGTCTGATAACGAATGACCTTCGTAAAATCCTGGGGAATACGTATAAATGGCAATAGGATGGTCTGAAGGGGAGCTGTTTGCGTTGATTGAAATTAATCTAGGACTAGAAATATTTTGTTTCCTCCACGATCATAAAACAAGTTACTGCAACATAACTATCGAGATGACCGCGCCACCTTGCCCACCCCCTAAAACAGCTCTTGGAAGGCATCGTCTCCTGTCCCCATCTGCATCTGTATATATCAGCCCCCTCTCCTTGGGCGCCTTGAACTTCGGAGAAGCATGGAAGGACAAATTCGGGGAGTGCACCAAGGAGACTGCATTCGAGATGCTTGACTTCTTTTATGAACAAGGCGGGAACTTCATCGACACGTGAGTATATTGAGCACCTTCCTGCCTACCACGAATCGGTTTGTAAGAATAGAAATGCTTACTTCTCTTAGTGCTAACATGTATCAAGACGAAGAATCGGAAATCTGGGTTGGCGAGTGGCTGGCAAAGCGAGGTCTGCGAGATGATATGGTTATTGCAACCAAATTTACTTCCGGCTACAAAGCGCAATCAGACAAGACTCGTATGCAGAGCAACTACGGCGGCAGTGGTACTAAATCACTCCACCTCTCAGTAGAGGCAAGCCTGAGAAAGCTCCAGACAGACTACATCGATATCCTCTACGTCCACTACTGGGACATGGCCACGTCGGCTGAGGAGCTTATGCAGAGCCTTAATATCCTAGTACAAGAACGCAAGGTACTGTATCTTGGTATCTCAGATGCCCCGGCGTGGTGGGTCGTCAAGTGCAACTCATACGCAAGATACCACGGCATGAGGCCATTTTGTGTGTATCAAGGAAGGTGGAACGCGGCGATCCGAGACATTGAAAGGGAAATTATCCCCATGTGTCGTGACCAAGATATGGGACTTGCTGTCTGGGGCGCGTTAGGCGGCGGGTATTTCAAGCCAAAGAGCCAGCGTGGCCAAGCTGGAGATGGGAGAAAGACCGGTATCAAACACGGACGTGAAGATTTGGTAGCTGATGTTCTTGAGAGAGTAGCTGAGCGCCTGAGTGTACCCATGACGAGTGTGGCTATGGCCTGGGTGATGCAAAAAGCCCCTCACGTCGTGCCGATTGTGGGTGGTCGCAAGATCGAACATCTCCGAGGAAACATTGAGGCGCTCAGTCTCGAGCTATCAGAAGAAGATATCAGAGAGGTTGACGAGGCTTACTTGTTTGAGCCAGGGTTTCCTTTCGATTTCCTTGGAGGGGGAAAGATGCCGCATGGACCAGGGGATGTCGTGTTTAATCAGAGGTTTGGAAACTTTGATTATGTGGCCGAAGCAAAAGCCATCAAGCCACATCGTGGACCCTTGAGTACACACGGTCCAAAATGGCATTGAAATAAGTAGAGACGGCAATGAGTTCGCCGAACGGGGTAAGGTAGTACGGGATTTCCCCGTGGCTGTTCGAAGATGGCTGCTGTCTTAGGCTGGCTTTCCGCTACGTTAATCAAGCAAACTACCTAACAATTGGAGTTTATCCTTCAGGATCGAATGAATATTATGAGGGTTGCCTTTTTCCGTGTCGTCCTTCTGTGTATGGGAGTTACTATGAGTGGCCAGTGTAAGACATGTACCAATGCTGTTTCAGGGGGAGTCCGGGTTCTCTCCCCCTGGTATCTCAAAGTTCTGAAGGTGACTCAAATTCGAATCAAGGTCTCAATTTCTTTGTTATGATGCAATATCAGGTGAGTCTCGATCAGGGTGACCCCTTTAAATGGAATTGGCAAGGGATGTGAGTTTTCATGCACTCTATAATTCGAACCCTAAGGAGGGCAACTAAGCCTTGTGGGCCCAGGGATGCTCCCTTGCAATGATATCTGTCTAATATAACTCATTTTCTGCTTCTTTTCTATAATCTATGAATTGGAATTTCCCCCTTTATCGTTGAAGCTATGGATGCGAAAGCTCTAACAGCGCCGGCGCCGGAGGCCAAGGTAGGAAGTTTTGATCCGCCGTCAGAAAATGCAGAGGAACCAACGACACATGATACATACAAAAAGCCGAGTCTATCACGCACAAGATCTATTATACTAGCTCTCGTCCTGGCCAGCTCCCCGTTTCTGACTGTGAGTTCGCTTCGTGAAAGAATCCCGGCTTGGATATCCCGTCTCTAGGCCAAAACTTGCTGGGCACTGCTAATAGGTTCCCTCACAAAGCTTTGCATGACTCAGGCCTGTGTTATTACTCTTCCAATCATAGGAAGAGACCTCAGTATCCACCCTGGTAACCTGCAATGGGTTCTCTCAGCGGCCTCAGTCGCGAACGCTTGTTCACTACCTCTCTGGGGACGGCTTGCAGATATATGGGGCCGACGCTTCATCTTCCAGTTCGGGCTGGCCAGCTTTTGTATTTCCTGCCTCATTGCGCCTTTTGCACCCAATGAGGTTTCATTCTGTTTCTTTCGCGTCCTCCACGGACTGGGAGGAGCTGCCGCGGTGCCCAGTGCCGTAAGTATCATCTTCGAGGTGTTCCCGCCTGGCAAGCCCCAAATCTATGCTATGTCGGTGTTTTCGGCTGGATTCCCTTTAGGTAGCCTTATAGGAAACATACTTGGGGGTGTCATCGCCCAAGAAATCAACTGGCATTGGGTGTTTTGGATTATGAGTATAGCCACGGCTTGTTCATGGGCCGCGTCACTGTTTGTCGTGCCATTTTTGTCCAAGGATGCTGAGATTAGGGAAGTGTCACTCCAAAAGCGGTTTTACTACCTCTGGATTGAGATGGACTGGGTTGGCCTCCTACTTTCCCTCCTTACTTTGGTGCTCTTCCTTGTGTCTCTAACGGCCGGAAACGTGGTTGGATGGACCTCACCGTGGGTTCTTACGCTGCTCATTGTCTCTTGCTTAATCCTTCCTGTGTTCATCAAATGGGAGCACTGGTTAGAAAATACAGCCAAACGACAGCCCTTGATAAAACTCTCAATTTTTCGCTCGCCGATATACCGTGGAGCACAGATCATTGACGCGATCTTTTGGGCTGCGTTCAGCAACTTTCTCGTCTTCGCGAGTTACTTTTACCAGGACTATCAAGGACTAGACGTTCTTCAGACAACCCTGCGCTTCCTTCCAAGTGGGATTGCGGGCATAATAGCCACCCTTATTTCTTCTCAGGTGTTAATCCGTGTCGACGGATACTACATGGTATTATGGTGCACTGCGTGCATCTCGGTTGCTTGTCTGCTCTTCGCCGTGCCTATACATCCCGACACAACCTACTGGGCTTACGGATTCCCCTCGATGGTTCTGCTAACGATTGGAGGAGATATGCTTTTCCCTTGCATCTCTATCTTCGTAATGAACTCGATCCCGGAGAAAGACAGAGCGGCGGGCGCGGCCATCTTCCAGACTCTAGGCCAAGTTGGCAGGAGTGTTGGCCTAGCTGTGGCAACTGCTATTCAAATTGCTGTGACGAATGACAACAATGGACGGAACGGCACCTATAGGCCCCATGACGAGAGTTTATTAAGAGGACTAAGAGCTGCGGAGTGGTTCAACTTTGCTATCAGTGTTACGGCATTGGCCGTGGCAGCTTATTCGTTCAGAGGTGCTGGAAAGTTGAACAAGTAAAGGGTTACTATCTCAAAATGCTAGACTCCAATGTTTGCTGTTATTCTCCGTTCATCCTGTCCATTCTGTATATCTTTAAAACACATTGTTGTGAAAGAGACACACATCGAAATTACGCATGCTGTCTTTCGAAAGAATGACACACAATATGAGGGAATTGTTCACCCTGGTAGAGTCAGTGAGCGGGGAGCGGAAATGAAGCGATATCAGCCAGCAGGGATCTCACCGAAAGTCTCTTTACGATATGCATAACGTCCTATCTACGGTGACATTATCGCGTGTGTTTCTCCGCAAACTCCATCCAAGACGGGGCCCTAATCCATGTCAACGCAATGACCTTCTGCAAGCACTGCCGAATCCACTGATAAGACCATTCGTCATTCAGCGGGGCTTTGAGTGCCTTGGTGAGCTTCTGGGGTAAGACACGATAACCAGTTTCTTGGCACAAGCTGTGTAATCGGCCAATCGGGTACCGAGCGTACGGTTCCTCGGGGTTTATTGGTAATATCGGGCAGGCATGGCAGCACGAAAACGATCATTGCCTAGCCCGGCGACCGGTGACTGGAGAGCTGCTTACGGGGCCAAACTCAAATGAATAAATAGAAGGGGATCTAGCCCAGATGCCTATTACACTGACAAGGCCATCTCTACAGAGTTGAAAGTTCTACGACGCTCTTGGTTTCAACCCCACCATGTTGTTGGCTATGAAGGGGCTCGCAATTTTTGCCCTTCTGGGCACGGCTGCTTCACAACTTGTCAGCACGGGTGCCTCGTTCAAAATCAAGGACGTCGATTATTTCGTGTCACCATACTCTCAAGGCAAGGTCGTCGACGGACCTGTGGTTCACACGTCGTTGGCACAAGCTTTTGGCTTTGCACCTGTCACCGTTGTAGCTGACAATGTGGACACTGCATCTCTTGGCGACTTCTTTAAGAACTGGACAACTAAAGACGATGTTTGGCAGCCCGGCTTTTTGTCTGGAGTTTTCCTCGTCAACCACAAAGGCGGCTGTATTTCCAAGAAGGCCCTGTACGATGGAGCCGACTCCTCGTTGGTATTCCCTTTGTCCAGCAACTCGACCATCCCCTCAGGACCATACTTCCTGCACTTATCATCTGGCGAGCTCTTCCAAGCATTTCGTCTCTATAGAGATACTGTACAAGCCTTCAGCGCTGGTCTGCTCCAAAGCCCAGCAGGAAGTTCTTTTCAACCTCTTTCTGCCCAGGTCCATGGCTCAGATGCCCTCACTATCGGAGTCCCTTCACGACTGTATTTCAAACGGTCGGCTGAGAAGCCTCTTGCCGGGGTACGCGTTGGTATCAAAGAGCTTTACGATCTTGCTGGCCTACGCAAGTCGAATGGAAATCGTGCCTGGTGGCGCCTATACCCTGAAGCGAATTCTACTGCTCCATGCATCCAAAACTTGATCGACGCGGGCGCAATCATCGTGGGGTATCAGAAGCTGTCTCAGTTTGCCAACGGAGAAACTGCCACAGCTGATTGGGTCGACTACCACTCCCCGTTTAACCCCCGCGGCGACGGCTACAACCAGCCCTCTTCCTCCTCATCCGGTGCTGGAGCGTCCGTTGCGTCTTATGAGTGGCTTGATATCGCCGTCGGTTCGGATACCGGCGGGTCTATCCGAGGACCTGCTGGTCAACAAGGCTTATTTGGAAACAGGCCCTCAAAAGATCTCGTCACTCTCGATGGTGCTATGCCGCTGAGCCCGACCTTGGATACCCCCGGCTTTCTTGTACGTGATCCAGAGATTTGGGACGTTGCCAACAAAGCTATGTACGGCGACAACTATACTTCGTATACCTCAGACATCAAGTATCCAACCAAGGTATATACCTATGGATTTGATGGCGCGCAGCCTCTTATCGTAGACTTTGCGGACAAGCTGGCAGGTTTCGTTGGTGTAGGTGGTCCGGAAGTATTGGATCTTGCTGCTCTCTGGAACGAGACTGGGCCTGTATCAGACCCCTTGAGCGTCATGCTGCGGGAGACTTATGCAGCGCTCATCGGAATCGAGCAAATCAAGTTGGTCCGCGATCCCTTCTATGTAGATTATGCTGCTGCTTATGAAGGTCGTCGGCCATTTGTGAACCCCGTGCCTCTTTCCCGATGGGCCTACGCTGAAGCACTCCCGAAAGGAACTTATGAGGCCGCGCTGCAGAACAAAACCACCTTTATGAACTGGTTCAATACCAATGTTCTCCCACGCTCCAACGACAACGGCCAATGCTCAGAGTCGATCTTGCTCTACCCCAGCAGCAGCGGCACCCCAAGTCCGAGGAATAGATATTCTACGGCACCTGGTGCGCCTCTTGGGTTCAGCTCTGGCCGGATCAGTGTTTTTGCCGAAGTGCCAGACAATGTCTTCCCGCTTGGTGAGGTGGCGACAAATAGCTCCATTACAGGGCAAGACGAGCTGCTGCCTGTGGCTGTGAGTCTTCTGGTTGCGAAGGGCTGTGACGGCATCTTGCCTCGACTGGCGAAGGATCTGGTCGAACAGGGGGTGTTGAAGATTCCACAGACAGGGCGCACGCTTGAAGGGGGCGAGATTCTGCTCAGGAGAAATGAAGGATATTAATGTACGCGGTATGTAGTAAGTCAAATAAAGAGCACTTAGGGTACCTTATGAACAGATGAATCCGTTACTCCCTCCGTTCTCCTCATCAGCTCCATTCATCTTACCTTGGCCTCCCAGATCCTACTGGACCTGGACATGACGATGCTGTTTCGACGACACCTGTTGCTGATCATCCTACATCGCCCTCTCAAGTTATGCCAAACCTCTTGGGAACCCAACATCCCATATCCTGGCTAACAAAAGACTCCAGGGGCGCCTCTCCACGCGTGGATACTCTTGCCTGTGGGTTTAGTTTCTAGCCAAAGACTCCACCATGGGCCATTCAACGGGGCATTAGACATGTTGATGTGTCAACCGTACCCTCTACGACAATCTTATCACTGAAAAGAGATCATCTCATCCTTGTAACTACCCACTAAGCCATCCCCACGCCTGTTTATCAATCTTATCCATCGCCAACCTGCAGTCAATAGGGGGTAACCATCGCCATGAGCTGAATGGGCCCGCTTTAATCGATCTGTCATCAAGCAGACCCCGAAAGATTTCCGTGATATTGCATAAAACGCGAGGGATTAGCTCCACGATCTTCTTCACACCCCGGCTTCGGCAAGACACAAACCCCTCAACCGCGACTTCTCAAGACACAACTCTCCTTCCAACGACGAGCAGCTTGTTTGCATCGAAACATGGCCCTCACTCTCACCGATCTCCCTTTGGAGATCCTTGAGAATGTCTGCCAGATGCTATGCCCCCATTGCCTCGGCACAACCGACAAGATCCGTCGGCAACACTCGGCTTGGAATATGGCGCACCTCCGAGCTCTGGCGTCCATCTCCCAGACCTGTTCGCTGCTCCGAACCATCGCGCAGCCCATTCTTCACCACTCACCGCTCGTTGGCACCGCGAGCTCCTTCTCGCTCGCCCTGGCCCTTTGCAGACGGCCAGATCTCGGCGCAAGCGTCCGAGAGCTGCGAGCAGGATCCGAGATGTACAGCCAGCGGGACTACACCATTACCGAGGATGAGAGCGAGTATCTCACCAAGCATCTGACTGAGTTCTCACAGTCAAGGGGCACGCCTATCCAGGTGCTCCCAAAGTGGTGGCTCGAGAGTCGTCACCGTGACCCTCAGGGGCGAGACCAGATCTTCTGCCTACACAGCTCGCTTGCCCTATCCTCTCTTGCCATGTCGCACGCGCCCAACGTGAAGTTTCTCGACGTCCAGATTGCTTGGGAGAATCCCACGCACTTCCCCTTCACGCCGCCTGGCTCCATGCCGCGCTTGAAGGAGCTCACCATCGCGTATGCCGGACGCCATATGAACACCAATCTAAAGCGAAGCTTCGTTGGAATGGCAGATATATTCCTCCAGGCCGCACCGAATCTCACCTCTTTCAAGGCGAAGAATTGGCTGATCCGGGGCATTCCAGACACGGTCACCTTCGACCACCTGGAGGAGCTGCATCTCCGTCGTTGCCGCATCGGGCTTTCGACTTTGGAGGAACTGATGCAAAAAGCAAAGAAGCTGCGGGTGTTTTCGTACACTCCAGGCGCTGATTTCCTCGACACCTTTGACGATGCACCACCCAAGGAGGTGTTTCAAGCCATATTGCATAGGGCCAATACCCTCCAGCAAGTCAAGGTGGACTTTACCTTGGCCCCGGACGTGATAGCCCGGTGCGGCGGCGATCCATCATTGTACTGCATGGAAACCATCCGGGACATGCGAGCCCTTGAGGCACTCGTTGTAGAGACCAGCACGATCCGCTTTGGGCCAAGTGAAGGTGTGTACCCGCGAGAAATTATCACCGATCTGCTTCCGACCTCGATCAGGAGTTTGAAGATCGTCCACTCCCCTACTGGGCTGGATAATGCGCTCTGTCATCTGGCAGCAAATGTGCCTACAAGGTTCAAAGACATGCGGACAATATACCTCACCGGCAGGCACGGCCAAGTCCAGACTGCGTTCCAAGCCGTGGGAGTCAAAACCTTTGTGTTGAAGGAAGAGCCTTCCCAGGCTCCATTTGCTATGTATGTGTGAAATGAACGAAAAGGAAAGTTAGAACGCCTGATAATGATTGAGATGGATATTAAATTGTTAGTCCAAAGTCTCAGAATTCCCAAATTATAGTCCGTCCACTTGCTATTGGAGACTCCCCAAATAATTGCCAATGTTCAACAAGGTGCTTCTCTTTCTCCAATATGACATCTTCCCAGTAGACCCCTTCGTTGGCAGAATGTAACCTTCACCTGTGCAGTAATTTTGAAGTGGTAGTTGTACAGAGGTAGAGACACCGACTATTCTGTTTTTGAAAAGTGCCTAAAACACTTCTTTAGCATGACTTTGCCTCAGCAGGTTACCCAAGCCTTCCCTATCATGACGTTGTCGTCAATGTGGAAATCCCGGTTTGTATAAAGGATTGCTGAACCACTTTGTCTTTGTTATCATCATATCCAATATTCCGTTTTATTGTCTCCAAATAACGATGTGACTAGCCCACCTGATCATAATAGCACATACAAAGTTCTGTTGTCCTTTTTGCAACCTGTTCAGCTGCTAAACAGGTAGCTGAGACAGTGCTTGAACAGGGAGCGCCATCTTCATGACATTATGCTATATTCTGTCCACCATGAATCGATACCTTGTTCGTCCGCCCACCCCAGGTGGTCTCATCAAGGTCGAGCTCGCTCCTGACCTCATACGAGGTGCTCACCAGCACGGACGGAGGCTGGGGGTCTCTTAGAATACCCTCTTCGCTACTGTCGCCATCCGTGCTGGACCTGTACATTGTGTAATTTCCCAAATGGCCCTTCTTTCCCGTGGTCATCTCAAAAGCCTCAGGCACGTGCGCAGATAGATGTGTGCTTTTGATCCCAGTGCCGGTTCCGGTTCCCGACTTGGTCCGCCTCTCGCTTCCTGGAGGACTGAGACCCGGTGTCCAGAATGAACGGTTGAACATGGGGCGTAGGGCGGGGATGTTCACAGTGATTATACCGACGATTGTCTCTCGCACGCCCCAGCTGTTGACATTGGCGGCCGACGCGTTTGACGACAAGGAGAAGCCAAGGCGAATGAGCGCTGCTGCAATAACGAATAAACCCGACGAGAGAAGTATACCTATAACGAGCTTTCTAATGATAAATCACATCTTAGTGACATGGAACGTCTGTCAGAGTATAGGCAACTTACTGCCGGAAGGGGACTTGGAGCTTCCATAGTAAGGGTAGTGGAATGCAGAGCATCGCCCCGTCGGTTCTAGAGTTTTATTAGACATTATGAAGTGCGTCTCTACATTATTTCACTTACAACACATTGAGAATTGTGGTAACTAAAAGATTCTGGAGCTTGAAGGTACATGTCTCTGGGCAACGTTAGTCCACTGGTAATCAAAGATGTGAGCGGCACACGTCTTACTTCCGGGATCTGGTACAACTCTAGACTAGCGTCAGTTCACCTGTTCGATTCACTTTTGAAGAGAGTGGTTGTGCATACTGCCAATTCCTAGACGTGGGGAAGCATCCAAACGTGATCTGGGAATAGTCAGCCTCCCCGAGATATGCCGACGAGCTCACTGCGAACGGACCGTGAAGAACACTGCAATGTAAGACAAAGCACAAGCGATTGAGATCATCTTAACCAAAAGACTATGCCAAGTTCCGATGGTCATCCGGGAAAAGAAACAGAGCATTGTCCCTTTAAGCGACCAGAGAAGAGCTGTGTACGAATACCAAGCGACAAGTTGTAGTTTCGACCCAAGTGTAAAATCGGCGACATCTTCGGCGGATAATTCTATGAAAGGAGATATATCAACGCTTGATTTCTTCGTTGAGTTGGACTGAGATGTTGGATCTACCTCGTTGGGTTTGGATTGTCGATGCCTCTACGTTCGTCCCAAGAAAGTCTATTGAGATTAGTGGCGGACATACTGGGATAAGGCTCAAGGCCAAAGAGATGAGATGCTTACAGACAAGATGAACTGTCGCAGCGTCGCACGCGTAGAAGATCAACACGAGGAAGGCGAACATGTCGTCAAACTGCAATCTGCTAATTCCAATCGTCTTGAAGCGCACGGCAAAGCGGAGCAGAAGAATTGCCGTGCCGATGCCGTACAACGCCCAGGCTTCTTGGAGGAACTGTACTTTCCTGTTAGCAGTGACCTCTTTCTCTTAACAATGCCAACGTGTGGTTCGAGACTAACGCTAGGCTTATACTCCGTTATAGGCATCTCATTCAACACCAACTGGTGGTACAGCAAACTCAGCACGGTGATGTGGGAAACAAGACGCAAGTAGGGAAGGGATTTAGGCTGTACACAGTACTCTTTGTATGGCCAACATGATATCCACAAGACCCGTTGGTGACAGTATCCTGGCAGTTCGAGCTAAGCCAACGCACATCCATGGCATGATCCCGCCTCGCCAAGAGAGGGAGTAGAGAAACGCGTGAGAATGAGAGCGTCGTATGCCCAAAGGAGAGCACGGTCCCTCCACTATGGTTCTTGGGGGATGTTAGCATGCTTCACTATAAATCTAGTGCTGTTTGTTATCCACGCTGGCGCTCACGCGAGTCAGTCACTCAATTGGATGCTATTTTTGCTCGTCTGCATCCTCCAAGACCCTGAGTAGATCGGATCATCTCGGCTTCGATCCAAATTCAAGCGTGGCGGGGCGGAAGCAGCATATATCCTTTTCCACTCGCTCCAAAGCGAAAACCAGAGCTGGATGCCAATCAACCGCAATCAGCAACAAGGCAGTGGCTAGCCCTGTGGAAACTCAAGTTTGGTCATGCAACTTTCGTATCGAGCTTTCTGGCCTAAGCGTTTCAAATCACAATCCGGTGGCTTAAACGTCGTCATCATCGCCCCTGTGGATGCCAAGGATACCCTGGATAGATCCTTTACGAACCACCGCCATGCTCATCAGTAGTGGCTTGAACCCCGTCCTTAGATTGGTTTTGTAGTGACAGAGCTGCAGCTCCTTAAATCAGCGATGAGGCGCAACACTGTGCCAGAAGGTGACGCGTGCCGTCATTTAGATCAAAATCGAGAGAAGGCGAGAAAGCCACGAGACACTGCTGACCGCAACCCGCTCTCCTTAAGGATATGCCCTGGTCGCCGTGGAGTCTAACCGGAAAGAATTCAATTTCCCATCGACATGATGCGCGTAAATCTAGATCTGCAATCCGATGCATCCGTGGGCATCTTAGGAGAGGATTGATAAAGTCTCCGAAAATAGTAGCCGGATCGTTGGACCGAGATTAACCAAGTTCAAGTTCCCAGATGTTATTTCTTTTGTCTGTTCTTGTGCTCAACATCAGAATTGAAGAAAGGATGTACCCCTGGGTGCGATGACTGCTGTTAGTTCGTCAAGGCCATCGCCCAAGCTTTCCTTAACACGCCTTGTTGAGCCATCCAAGCTTAGCGAACTCAAGTCCGTAAAATTGGAGACTACCTACAATATGGCCTAAGAATACAAATAATTTATTGAAACACGAGCTGTGAAGTATTTCTCAGGGAAATTATCTAGGTTGTGTTAAGAGCGCGAAGTGTCTAGAATTAAAAAATTCCAACCATGACTAGGACTTCTTATCATGAGGCTCAGTTCAGGGATATCAGAAGGCTGATCTAGCACATCACGCTCACTTTATTCACTAAACTATAAGATAGGGAAAGCTAGTGGTATACAATGCTAATTAGCCTACACATAATGTGACATACTTGAGCATAATGCTGCAGAAGAGAACAACTATGCCTCCCTGATATGCTTTCCGAATAAACCAAGGGCGGTTCTTAGAGTTTCTCAGTTCTTAGCGGTGTAAGGCTCTGACTTTCATATTCAGGTTTTTTTTGCTCGACGAGAGGGAAACTCTTCCCTAAATTTCCATAGTCTACTGTAGTAAAACCTATTGTTCAGTCATGTCAGAAATACCTTGATATGCTTGCTCCTCTGGAGAATCTTTGAAGCGAGAGGAGTCTCCCTACAAAGATATTTTGATCTGATGAGAAACCAACAAAGGCACACCTTCTACATCATATTCCCAACGCTTTGGTTTGCTGAATCTATCAGTACTATGCTGGACAGGGCAGCTTTCAACTACGAAACAAGAGAGGAGCTAGAGTTCATTAAACCAGGCACGCTCGCAAAAAAAGTCACGATGGCAACTTCATTTTGTTCAGTCTGAACCTTAACTGCGGCTGGCTCCACAACTCTGTTGCCGGACCATAATACGGTGAACGCAAATTCATACCTCTGGCTTGCATAAGTTTCAATGATGATTGGGCTCACAGATATGCAGGGATTCTTTTCTAAAGGGCTGATTCAAGTTATGATAGGCTATGGGGCTATGCCGATTTCTTGGTTACCAAGAAACTGAGTTCTGCTACCTATGGCTTGCTTTGGATATCAATGAGCTTAGCAAAGCATCATCCTGTTAAGAGACTACGTGGAAACTAGGTGCTACTTTCTAAGCAACTGGGCCATTTAGTGTCTTAGCCCCGTATGTTAGTTTTACAAAGGGGTGCACAATCCAAGTAACGGTTTCCCAAGCACCTTAGCATAAGAGAGACCTTAGCTGGAGGGAAGGTATCCCTATATCTAATGATTCTTTAGGTAGCTAGTTAGGGTCAACAGGGAAAGGTTTAAGGATAAATTGTGCAGATACGGCAAAGGAAAGGGAGAAGTAAGACAGCAGCAAAAAGTAAAAACTTTGCACACTATTATACTGCGCTCTATGATGCAGGCCATAGATAGTCTGATCAGGGCAAAGGCATTTTGCTCATAGCCGCCCTCTCCCAGAGCCGTCGGGGTAAAAATAAGTGGGCTGTGATGAATATCAATATCAAACAAATTTATTATGATAATTTCTTCCCCTGTCGTTGGCGTTCACATCGACCCTATCGTATCTTGTACAAGATATTTCCCCTGGATGTGGCGAATGAGTTTTAAGCGGACGCGTGCGGGAAAGTAAATCTCGATCCTTGAGAATAATCTTGGATTCCGAGAAAATGGGCACAAGAGAGAGACTGGGGAGAGACTTTGCTATGGCTCATGGTGAGCCACTAAAGAGATTGCTTTGATAGGAACTCCGGATAAAGTTTTCCCCCTCGTGTATTATTTGGAAGGTCATCACCCCGGATAATTTGGTAGATCAGAGAATTTTCTGGGTTCATATTATTTCCTTTCGCGTGTAAAAGAGAACCAGTAAATGAAAATGGCACTTGAATTCGCATGAAAGAAAAAGCTTTTGCATAGGAGACAACTCACCCTGCATCACTCAAGCGTTTCACACGAAATCTTCCCTACCACTCCTTCTTCCCCCGGTCTCGCGTCTCACTGTTTGAACGCGCGTAGCCAGTAGTTGAGGAGACCTTTCCGTTGCAGATGCACCCCATCCAATTAGGGAACTTCCGGCGACCATGACACTAAACGCCGACCTGTACAGCGAACTAATTACTCAATGGGAAGCGCAATTAATCAAAAGCCATGGCTAGCTCTGCGCTACGATGCTACCGGACTGCCGTGGTGAGTTTAGGATCGCCACTCACATGTAGCGTATCGGAATCGCATCGAGTACGCCAGGTAGGGAGCTGCCGATGGGCTAAAAGGGTGCCAACCTCGCAGCCTCCTGCCAGAGATCAGCTAGCAGGCTTCGTCGACACGTGGTTTGATTCCAGACTAGTCAGGTTGGCGCAGAAGGTTGCGTTTGACAAGTTCGTCTGAGCAACGACCTCTAGAACTATGCTACTGGCAGCAGGTGCAGGAGTCATGGATCAGTGACATGATAATAGTATGTGCGATCAGCAGATTACGGCAAGACAGTAAATTTGATAAGAGTAATACGTACGGGCGTATAATCCTCAGCGCGTGGGTCGTGGCCGAAGCCCGAAGCACGAAGCACGGTAGCCGAGCCCCCTGACTCGGTTCAGGTCAGGGGTTCACGAAAATCATTAGCACCATGCTTCAGTCTAGCCGGGAAGGAAACTTGCGTAGCAGGCAGTGGTATTTCAATACCACCTTATCAGGTAGAAGAATGTTGGTCCCTGATCTGGAAATATTCAATGCATGGGGCTATACAAGAGCCCGCTTGCCTACGGGTTTGGGGGGATGGAGGCTCGTGTTTGATCTCGTTTAAACTAGCTCAACGGTTTCTATTGACCAGTCCCTAGGCAATGATGGGCCGCGTCTTTAGGAGAAAGGCTGAGCACAGGGAGCTCCGTATCGTTGTTTTGATTGGGGAGGCAACGACCTTAGCATCTTGACGGGCGGCTCACTAATGAACACTATCACCAAACGGACATGTGCGGCGTTGCGGTTGGAGTGATAGCTTGGCAGATGCTATTCCGCGCTGGGTACACTGAAAGTAATGCATGGCTTTCGACTTGGCCTGCATCTTCATGCTAATAATTGTGTTGCGTGTTGCTTCAGTGTATGGCGCTAATGCATGCAGCCATGTCACCTCCCATTCAAACGCGGGATAAACAAAATAAATAACGATCTTCTAGACGAATAATGAGCCGTTGACATTTACCAGCTTCTACCCGCACGGCTGGTGACATACAAACATGTCGATTAATGGCGGGATGCCATCCAGCAGAGTAGCTCCGGCATAGAATGCCGATGCCATATTAAACACATGGCAAATTTCCAAATGTTCTAACGCCTGACCGCGTGGGATGTCACCAATGAGGCACAGCAGGCTTCATCCTCTCAGTGCATGGACGGTGAGCACGCCCTAGCAGTGATAGCCCATCCAACGGTGTCCAATCCTCATCACCAACTGCTTACCACGCTTGATTCGATATAACCTAGCACGGATTACGGAATACTCCAGTGGGGTCTAGTCAGGAGGTTGGCTATTAGAGGGTGGGAAACTTTTACGTGTCGCGAAACCCTCCGAAGGCTGCAAGCGGGCAAGGTCAAGTCCGTTCACTTGACCGTCTCTTCCGACATCATTGCATATGGAAAGCCCCTCGCTTAATCGTACTGCTGATTCGTCCATTTCTGTTTGCCCTCGCTAGCCGATGGAAACAAGGGCAGAAAATCTTTGGCCGCCCGCTCACATTCCAAATCTCCGCGCTAGGGGGAGATCGTGCAAGGGCAACCCCCCCTTCTCGACCTTGATCTTCAGCTTGATCTTCAGCGTGGGGGGTCCACCTGTAGGGTTCCGAGCCTCTAGTGTTGGCCGCCAAGGGACAATCATCTTGTCTAGCCCAGCCGATCACTACCTCGGACGAGGCATGGGGAGGGGTGTGCCTTGCTTCACACCCACCGGTTGGCCGGAAGCATAAACGAGCCCTCCTATGAGTATTCGAACTTCCTGGTGGAAGCTTTTTGCTTTTTGGATCGTGCTGCTGCAGCCTGTTCCCCAGGAATGGGTGGAAATCTCGTGCATATGTCAGATGCTCGAGATCGTGGTGTCATATCATAGGGATGGGCTCAAGCACGAGCCTCAACACCGAGCTGCTCAGACTCGAGTTGGCATCTCCATTGCAAGGACCAACGCATGGAGTACCTAAGCATGAAGCTAGCATCCCTGAGCCGTGGCCACCGTAATACCGACCTGCTAGCACATATGCACAACGACTCAGGTAGCGTGCAATGCAGAAGGCTGGCACGTTTGATCGCCCACGGCCAACATCGACGTGGACTCGTCCAAGAGGTCCCATGTGTTATTTCATTGCCTTGGCGCTAATAGGTTCGTGATATCTGTTATCTCCAATTATCTCTCACTTATGCGGACCGCCACTCGTCAGAGTTGGCTCGGCCATCGCGATGCCTGTTTTCCTCGTACATCGGATCCGCTCTGCAAACCCCATCCCCTATTTATTAGATTTCATTTATGTCTTGAACGCCCCATATCCTCACTTCTCCTCCTTCGGGGAGTTTATGCAGTCTCAGTTTTGCGAACGACCTCAAACTTGAATTTGGCCTTTCTTCAGACATTGTGGCACGCGGTCAGCCACCCTGTTGCCCACCATGAGTTCGGCCGATACGTCCCTCAACAGTTTCCTGGTGGAATCTTACACCTATCTCTCCCTTGGCCTTCTGATCATTCTATTGCGCACATTTACTCGCGTTCGACAGGTCGGTTTTGTCGGTCTAGCGCTGGACGACTATGCTATGTTGGGTATCATAATCCCATATACTTCAGAGAGTATCATGGCACAAGCTGTTGGACAACAATTCCATGGAGTGTCCAATAGCGGTATGACCGACGCTCAGCGTGCTGCCTTAAGCCCGGATAGTGACGAATATGGATGGAGGTCAGCTCACCCCTTGCTTTGTCCCCTCTACCAGCCTATCTTCCCTGACGACTAGGCGTGCTAACAACTGCGATGTAACAGGGTCGCAGGTTCCAAAGTCCAAGTTGCCGGTTGGTGTATGTATATATCAGTTCTCTGGGGTATCAAGCTGTCCCTGTGTGCATTCTACTCTCGTTTAACGGTAGGTTCTTCGATGTTTCCTAAGTGATCCAAAATATATTAACTCATTGAATTTGCTTTCAGGACGGTGTTCATGGCTATCGCCCCAAAATTCTCGGAGGATATGCTTTCCTTGGAGTCACATACCTTTTTCTGATTCTTTGCTTCCTGCTGAGCTGCCAGCCCATGCATAAGTTTTGGCAAATTAACCCTGACCCGGGAAGTAAGTAGAATACATGACCTGTCGTTGGTTTCCGGTTGCTAACTACTTCCACGGATAGATCTCTGCCAGCCCGCGCTTTCAAAATTATATATCCTTTCGACACTTATATTAAACCTCACGACGGACATCTACCTTATCCTCATCCCTATTCCCATGCTCTGGGGAACGCAACTCCCGACATTTAAGAAGTTGACTCTAGTTGTGGTATTCTCGGGAGCTATGTTCGTTATGGCCGCTGCCATTGTTCGCAGTATTGTCATTTTCCAGGTACGCCATCTGCCATTTTTTGGTGATAAGGGAATATGAGATCACCGGGAGGCTGACCTTTGCGCTCAACAGAACGAGATTGACGGGCCTAGGCAAGGTTCGTCCTGGGCCATCCGCGAATCTTTCGTCGCCGTAATCACATCGTGTATGCCCGTGATCTGGGGTTGGCTCAAGATCAAACTCAAGCCCTTCCTCGGCTCTCTACTGTCTTCTCAGACAAAGAAGACTGGGCCGGAACCAGGGAGCATCATGCTCGGCGACACCAACGACGGCTCTACTTGGCGATCCGCCAAGAACACCACCACAAGTCGAACTATCACCTCCCGTGCCATGCCCGACGAAGAGCGTAGTAGTTCAGAACTAAGTCTCAACACCGCCTTGGGTGGCCCCAAGGGTAGCTCCAAGGGCGGCATCAAAAAGGAGGTTGCCATTTCCGTCTCATCAGCCAAGGCAGCCGATGATGTGGAAACTGGAGGTCGGCCGGTTCCCAACAATGCTCAAATTAACGACAAGTGGTAGTAAGAGAATCCCGGCATACAGTCACCCTGTGTTTGGCCCTTCCTGTTCTTATGCCTAAATCTCCTTTGAGAGAGTAGCGAAGGGTGCCGTGACAGAAGAGTGTAATTGGATACGATTGAAATGGACTTTTAATATAATACGATAAACCGACAGCAAATACCAACACCCACCACATCAGCGAATTGAAGACACAAATTAGTTGTTGATGAGATTTCAGAACAATGAATGGCCATGCCACCGCTTGTTTTGTATCTTTAGTAAGGGTGTATTCATGACGGCTACCTGATGCTGAAAGGCGTAATAGATAAGGAGCCGTATCAACTGTTCCGTGTCACCATAGAGAAAGCCAAGAGAGGTGTTGAACAATAAGCTCGACGTTTCATTCTTCGCAGCAATTACAAGCACTACAACCACCATCTATCCAGCATTGCCAATCACGAGCCTTCCACTCGATGCGTCTCTAGTGTAGCTTCCAACCAGCTGACCATTACCATGCTACCAGACCCGACATCTCAATACAATGAATAGCTACAGACCACCACTTCACTGGTTGAGGTGAACAGCATCGAGTTATTATCGACTTTACAAATCGGGCGAGGTAACAGGGCGAGTTTTATAGCATACGCGATTGTAAATACAGGCTCGGAGAATGTTTTGAGTATTCTTGAGTGCAGGGTTTGAGCTATTCTTTATTCAGAGACGATATCCAACTGCGTTCGCTTGAGTACCATTTTATCGCCGCGTCCAAACATTCCTAGTGACATGATTACAGGCACTACTGAGATTGCCAAGACAGCTTGAAAGATGGTGAAGCTGGTCATGTTGTAGGGGACCGCAGCATCAGACCCGGCCTTCATCGCGTCCCCGGCCAAGATGAAACAACCACCAATGAGCTGTCCGCCTGCCCAGGCAAATGTGCTCGTTATCTCAGGGCCAAGTGGATGCGAAAACTCCGTCATGGCCTCCAGAGCAACAGCAACAATAGCGAGTGACGTGATCCCCATAACACAGAGCAAGCCATAAAGTCCACCGATGCTTCTGGTGGAGGGAACCCAAATGAGGGCCAAGTAGCAAGCACTTCCCAGAGCCAATCCCAGCTTAAGTGCAGCGGTGAACTTCTTGGTTCGATCTATAAGAGGAGCCGCAACAGCAGAGCCTGCCAAACCTGCAACTATGATCAAGGCACCGCCAATGCCGGCCTCAGAATCAGAAAAGCCGTAAGGTGACAAGATTTGATTAAGAAGAGAGGAGGTGGAAATAAACAATGCAGTAAAGATCCAAAATGGTATCAAAATAAGGAAACACTCGAGTGAAGAGAAGAAGATGCGCAAAGACTGCAGCACTGGCCTGCTCGTAATGATTCCGGACGGCGCTGGGGGGGTCGGAGGAGCACCTGGTACGAGAAATCCAAGTACTGCCACTGCAGATGACTGGATGTAGATAGAATCAGTAACCGCGCAACGACTGCACGCAGAGTAGAGCACTAAAAATGGCACTTACTATAATGGAGACATATAAGACCATCGAGCCAATGCCACTTGGGTCTTGCACCCAGAGAGGGCTCACAACCTGCCCTATCGCAGCCCCCGCCGGACTAGCGAGGCTCATGATGGCCGTGGCCGATACGCGGCCAGAACTTGTGAACCAGACCTCGGAGTAACGTGTGGGAGCGCTCAAGACGACCGACTGGGACAAGCCGATCAGAGCTTGTCCTACACTGACCGCCACAATATTGCTGTCTGCGTAAGAACGAGATCCTGCGTACCGAACCCAATTGCCGAGAAGGAGAAGGGTGCTGCCGGTGATGATGGCTGGGCGAAGGCCCCAGCTAAGCAGTTTGAGGGTCACGATGGTCATGGCAAAGTTCGCGAAGACGAAGATTGTGCTAAGCCAGTTCACCATGCTCTCGTCGACGTGGTAGAACTCGGCCGACTGTGAGACGAGGGGCGAGAAAGTGAGCCACTAGACCGTTGATGGATGCTCCAATGGTTAGCTATATTCGATGAATAGGGGGATTAGAAACTGAGATTTCAACCCAGGCGCGGAGGTGCGGGCCGATGGACAATGTCCTCGTGAGTAGTAATTGAAGCTTCCTCGGCCGTCTCTTGCCTGTCACACAGCCTAGCCTGGAGATATTCCCTAGATGACTTACACCCCAGCTAACCATAATGTTTAGCAAGACTAGCACTGCAAGTCCAAACCACCGCGAGGGGTACGTTCTGTATTGATTGGTGATCGTACCGAAGTCGATAGAGTTCATCGACTCCGGTCTCATAGTAACACTAGGACTGCTAGAATTGTCAGATGCGGACCTCACACGACATGGTGCGACTAGCTGCACCCTGATGTCCTTGTTCACGACCCTCTCGTCTGTAGAACGTGCATGTTCTAGAAGGAACTCGCCTGGCTGAATGTTCGATCCGTGTCGCGCCATTTTTATTCAATATTATGAGAGGTAGTACTGATCAAAAGTATAGAATTCGTCAAATAGGAAGCAGAATGGAACGACAAGACGAAGAGATAGTACGAGTATAGTTTTTAAGCGCGGCACAGAAGTAAGAGAGCAACATTGACAAGGCGACGGAGCCCGCGGCGCCGAGTGTCCTCTTTCGAGGACTATCTACTCGAGTGAGACTTCACCAGTAAAGATCAACAGCGACGAGGCCCGAAAGTTCCGGGGTTGTGTTTGATCCATGCATTGAGTTGATATTTGATTCGTATGTATGAACCATCTCGGACGAGAGACGAGTACATGCAGCAGCGTCTACAAGGTAAATCATCTCTGTAAGCCCTACCCTACTATATTTAGTTGATCCTTGGCTATCCAAGTTTCTATTACTCTATTGCTCTGCCGGTCTATCCGGCAAGTTGTGTCCTTCGTTGTACGGGCGGGAGCGACGAGTAGTATGCAAGAGGTACTGCTCTAGAATCACTATTGTAAAGATACCTATCTACAGAAGTCATGGATTAGCCTTCCAGACCCTTGTAGTACGTATAAACTTGCCTCAGTAAGGCACCTTAGCTGGGTGATTACGTAGTTGATTTACCTTTGGAGATCTTATGCAAATCCTCTTTCTGAGATCAGATTTTGTGCTTAATTGTGCCTGTATCGAAGGTGATGCAGATGCTAGCCGCGGGACATTTTGCCGATTCAGGGGTCTTGGAATGCTCCTCCAGGGGTTCACTGTCAAACCAAGCTTGGGAGTGGGCTGAACGCGTGCACACCCGTCTGAAGAGAATTATAGATTTTCCTCTATGAGAAGGCTAGGCAAACCAACCTAGGGAAACTCCCCATGGAATGCCCCTGTGTAAGACGGAACGCGCGGGCCCGCGGACCCCCCCGTTCGTTCGACGACGTCGTCCAATTGTATAGGACAGCTCCACCAGGGCAGCCTCGGGTTACTCTACGTCTGCTACAAGGTTCATGTGCGTATCTCTCGTTTCCTCAGTTTGTTCCTTTTACTAATCAATGGGTAGTGCTTGTGTGTTTTTCCATCTGGTTGCCGCTGACTGGAACTGGGGGTCCGCAGCAGCTCTGACATGCATGTTCACTCTCAAGTCGTAGGGGCGCTTTTCGGCTGCAGCGGTGGACTTCGGCAGTTGTGAGGGGCTTTGTCACAGGCTGCTTGTACTAGGGCTTACGTCATTCGCTCTTGTCAACAGCCTGTGCCGTCTTTCACAGCCCACCTACATTGTCTCTCTCTTTCTATGCCCAAGACTCAAAGAGAGGGTTCTGAATGTAAGACTTGGCGATGCCTATGGAAGCAGTAGAGAACGACGCTGCGGCGGAGAGCGGCCCAATTGGGACTATTAGCCGAGCTGTAAGAAGACTCACCTGTTTCTCGAACTGTAGCTCAGACTCCTTCCAGCACTTCCGGTCTAACATTGTTGGTATAGTGCGACCGATGCCGTGCGAGGAAGGTAGGTCTTCCTAATTCCATATGGACCGCCTTGGTCTTGATGAGCCGACGTTGATGGAATAGCCAAGATTCGATGCGACAGGCTCTCCCCATGTTCCAACTGCCGAGCCATTCAGCATAGCTGTAGCTCAGGTGGAGGACCATTCAGACACAGGGAATCTAGGCAGAGGGTCCTGATTTCCACAGAATAGTAAGTGGTGATTGTAGAGGACTACGCCACAAAGCGGAACTAATTGATCTGCCCGACAGTGAGCACAAGATCGATCGAATTGAATATCGCCTGACCGGCATCGAACGGCTCCTACAAGATAGCCATCCGCCGTCTAGCACTCAAGGGCCAGCGGAACGCGCCGGACAAACCGCAGAAGCAGTCGCCAGGCCGAGCTCGGAGCTGGTCGAGACCGCGAACAGCATCTCGGAGAATGTCGAGTCTGAGAGGGCCTTTGAAGGCGACAGCTCCATGACGGCAGCAACTGTCTTTGCAAGCGAGTTTCTCGAGAATGCGGTGGAGCGATCGCCGAGCTACACGGCGAACTCGCCGGTGCATGCTGCCGTCCTATCGCTGAAGGAGATGGCCAGCATGCAAAGTCTCCAGTCATCAAAAGGCACCCTCCCATACAAGAGACAGATAGCGAATCCTGCGCTGAGAGGCCTACAACTCCCGCCTCAGCAACCCGTCCTCTCTATTCTGAGGGAGATGAAAGGTACCAGTCCGAACATGCCTATTCCACTCGACATGTACGACGCATGAACTAAGCCCATGGCGCAGAGATATCACCCATAACATTGACTGTTATATGCTTCTTCATCCCAATGGAAAGGTTTGTAGAATGCTGTCGCGAGGTTTATTTCGCCCTGGAGGACTTCTCGCTCTCGACTTTTCTCATTGTGAACGCCGGGCTTCGCTATCTATTCCAGGAGAAGCACCTCACCGCCAGTGAACAGGCCTCCATGGAAGAGTATCGCTCCTGGTCTCACTTGTGCAGATGCAACGTGGAGACTGCCTTGGCTAATCTCAGCTTCCTCTTGCCCGCAAGCTCGGAGAATATAGAGGCGCTCCTACTTGGAGTCAGTTCATTCCCTCTTGCACGCATGAAACGAGGCGTGAGGCATAGGTGTAAAGAGTGCGCATGCTGACAGGAGGAAACAGTCCATATACTGCATAGAAACGTCACAGACTTCGCTCGCGTGGCAGCTGAGTGCGGGCGCAGCGCAAATGTGCCAGACACTCGGGTGGCATCGCCTCCCGTCCCACAGTGACAGCTCTGTCGACCGGAAGCTTCCCCTCTTTTGGTTCACCTATCTCCTCGACAAGGGGCTAGCTCTCCGCTTGGGACGCATTTCCGTCCTTCAGGACCACGAGATCACGCTTCGTAGGCAATTCAATAGTGCTGGCGTGCCCAGAGAATGGCAGAACTTGATGACTCAGTGGATTCACCACTCGGAAATTGTTGGCAAAGTCTACCAAGACCTCTATAGCCCGGCCACGTCCACAAAGCCCATGCCAGAACGCACCAAACTTGCCGAGTTTCTTCTTGCCCGTCTCAAAGAAACGATGGACGCCTCGACAGCGTCGGCAGGAGAAGCACGCGCGGCGACGGGCGGCCAGCCCTTGAGGTACGGCTTCCCCCCACAAAGCATTCTGGCGATGCTCTTGAAGTTCGACGAGGTTTGGTATTGGGCAAGCGTAACCCTCGTGCATCGAGCTCTCCGGTCAAACGAAGGGTTCAGTGAGCCCTGCATTCAGGCCGCTAGAAGTGCCTTCAAAGCCCACCGGGAGTGCATACACATGACAGAGACGAGCCCACACATGAAAGCGGCATACCTACTCTGGTACGTCCACCTGCCCTCCTACCAATAACCCGATGTGCAAGCCTACCCTGGTTCTTATTTGCTAACTGAACTACAAACAGGACCATCATTTATACACCCTTCACGCCTCTCATCGTGATTTTCTGCCACGTCATCGAGTCCGGAAATACCGAAGATCTACGCATCCTCAGCGATTTTACCGGGTCACTTGAGTCGGTATCCGCGACAACAGAGCCAATAAAAAGGCTACACAGCCTGTGTCAAGTCCTGCGCGACGTGGCAGCTATATTCGTTGGGTCCAAGGCCCAGAACTCCCGGGACCAGCTCATAATGGCCGGTAATGAGTTTGATACTTATCTGGGTAACATGATGGGATTACCGGTTACAGATCCTAGTCGTCAAAACTCCGTCTCCGCCTTAGAGATGGAAGAGCCGGCGATGGTGGCAGAAACACATGTGTCACAGCTCCGAGGCTGGATGGCGGGCAATCCACACATATTTAGCATGTTAGAGGACGACCTATCTCAGTACCTAAGATAGATATCGTAGCTCCGCTATTTTTCAAGAGAGGTGTGTTGACTTTTGCACACTGAAGAGTTAGAAACTCTTGTCATAAGTATCGATACGAGAGAAGTTTAAAGAACAATAGTATGGAGACTCGTTGAAAGCGTAAAAAAGGGGGGGAGGGCAATTCTCTATCCGTTGAAGTTCTATCTAGGTGCTTCCAAACCATAATCCAGCTGCGTTCATAGCATGTGGCAAGTAAGCAAACTCATTGCAGTACAGTTATGACTGGAACACTATTTAGTTGAAAACCTCCGTAACATATCGTCCCATACCAATCTCCGACTTCCACTCCGTCACATCCGATGCAACTGTGTTTCCAGCCGTTTTATCTGCGGAGAACAAGATCGGCCCGAGAGCTTCAAAGACGGCATCGGATATCTTCTTGCCACCGCAAACTCGAATCACTCCGCCTCTTCTCCAGAGTTGGCAGATCTCTTTCCTGTACCCAGAGACCAAGTCCTGAACATACCTATGCTTGGCACCGGGTTCACGGCTGTACGCCCGAAAAACTCGCACCGCGCCAGCGGCCTCGTACTCTTCCATTTCGGATCGATACATATCGTCAAGTATACGTCCACGACAGCCGTAGAACAGCAGCGCGGGGGCGTGTGGCTGGGCGCTGGCTTGCAGCGAGCATACGCGATCCTGCACCAGACCCCTAAAAGGTGCGAGTCCTGACCCTGCACAGATCATGATGATTGGGAGCGTGGGGTCCAAGGGCAGTGAAAACCCCCTTTTCGATGGCTGCAGCGCAACGCAGATCGTATCACCGGGCCCAAGGGAGGCCAAGTAGGTCGATGCCACACCGGGAGGGATGTTTGGCGTGCCTTTTTCTCTGGCTCCAGTTGATTCGACGACTGAGTAGGTCAGGGTCCCATGCCCAGGTCTCCATTGCGCGGATGAGGATAGAGAGTAGGTGCGTGGTCGCATTTGCGGCAGCATGGGGAGGAAAGTCGAGATGGTCAGGTCGATGGCCGGAAACCGCTCGAGAAGGTCCAGGACAGACAAGCGCTTGTCTCGAACCTCGCTCTTATATGACGCTCGTGCGAGGAGCTCCAGCTCCGCCTTGGTAGACTCATCGTCAGCTGCATCCATCAGCATCTGCACAGCTTTGGGAGTCGCTGTCGAGAAGAGCTCAACGTAGCCCGAGAACAGATCGAATGCTGTCACCGGTACGTTGATAGGTAAGCCGAGTGGCCGTGTCGACTCTATTGTCAACATTGTATCTCTACCAAGGGCGAACCTCGAGAGGACGCGTCGCACGTCCGTGAGACTGTTGGTAGGCAGGACTTGTAAGTGATCCCCAGCTTCGTATGTCGCCCCGGGCGGAAATCTGATTTCGAGGTGTCGCTTTCTGGGCACACCTGAGCGGGACAAGGCCGAGATCTCGGTGACGGTGGCCTGAATAAATCCTGGCAACATAGCCAAGCGTGGGGGTTGATCAACAGAGACTGTCACTTCCAGACCTGTGCTCTTACCGTCCTGTTGCGGCTGGTATCGAGCCTCCAGTTCTTGCCAAAGCCCTTCTGATAGCCAGCCTTCCAGGGCAGAGTAGATATCCTCGGACCCAGTGTCGACGGTCCCTAAGGGTACTAGTCTTTCTGCCCCGGTCCGCTGCATCTCATGATCAATCGTCTTGGGTACCTTGTGCAATGTTGCCTGCCAGTCTCGATGCCCTGCCTCATGTCAGCGCTGGTTGAGATTTAAACCAGACAAGATTTGAAGCAATTCTCTCCCACATACCGCAGCCAAAAATGGCGTACTTGACACCAGCTAGCCCTCCATCGTCTACGCCCTGTAGCCAGGATACGAACTCCGCGGCGTTCTCAGATGGCTCCCCATCATATGATGCAGCGACGAACACGATAGGTGAATCTCTGGGCACGCCATCCTTGATCGCGTTGATCGCGCTCACGTTGTCTGGCCGGAACCCTCTCTTGGCGGCCTCGAATGCAATTCGGTGAGCTAGGGCCTCACACGTCCCAGAGTTTGACCCGTAATATATTCGTATTAGTGGAGCGGCCAGACTTGTTTGCTTCAGAGATGGTTCGAGGAGGGAGGGTGCCTGCGGTTTGGCAGACCGCATATTTTGTAACGCCCGCCTTCCATCACGCAAACGTACGCGCATCTCGAAACCGACGGGTTTAATAGTCAAAGTCTGCTTATACTGGAGCTTGTAGTTTGGGTCCACCTTTTCCAAGTCGAAATTCTGTATCAACATGGCACAGACCTGATTCCTAGTTAGACCAAGCATAAGCCATCGGCTACATATAGTTCAAGTACCTACAAGCTGGGCTTCTTGCATCGCAAAGGCTCTCCCTATGCATGCTCGGGTACCATTTCCAAAGGGCTTCCACGAATGCTGCGGAATCTTGTCCAAATTCTCTTTGAGCATTCTCTCGGGTCTGAACTCTTCAGAGTCGTCACCCCAAACGGCCGGATCTCTATGAATTAGGTGCAATAAGACAAATATGGGATCTTCTGGCTTGATCTCATACGCACCACCGATTATCTCGTCCTTGCGAGATTTCAAGAAGAATCCTGGAGCGGTTGGCATGAGGCGTAGTGATTCCTTCAGGACTGCATCAATATAGGGGAGCCTGCCTAGATGCTCGATAGAGAGAGCGTCCTGGCCAACCACAGAATCAACCTCCTCGCGGGCTTTTTCTAGGGCCGTTTTGTTCTCCAGCAGATAGTAGAATGTGAAGGATAATAGTCCAGATGTAGTTTCATGTCCAGCCATCAGGAACGTGATCATATTGTGGATAATAATCCGTTCGCTCAGCGCTTCCCCTGTTTGGGGGTCTCGACCCTGTAGCATGGTGTTCAACAAGTCGTGGCTATCGACCGGGTTCTTCCGGCGTTGTTCGATGATCTCGTGGCATATATCTGCCATTGTCTGTATATTCTTCTTGAACCTCGCTGAAGACGTGACTCGGAGCTTGTTCGCGACGCTGGGAAGAACCCCTTGAATGTCAGCTTCCGCGAGAACCTCAAACATGGTCTCGACGAAACGATGCAGTTTATCGTTGAGATAGAAGCTATTAATCCGATAATCCATGGCGCAGAGGGCGATGGTATCCACGGTGAGGCGTGTAAAATCTTTAGACACGTCTAGCGGGACTGAGGGACCCAGACGCGCCCTGTCGAAGTTGTCAGCCCTAGGTACCCGAAACCGGCCAATAGATCACTAACCACTTCAAGCACAGCTGCTGGGAGATATCCACCATGTCGTCAAACATCTCTCTTATCTTGAGGGTCCCGAAGACCGGCATGAGAACTCGATGAGCCAAGCCCCAGTCGTGATTCCCGTCGTGAGCTGTGAAAAGCCCATCACCAATAGCAGGCCTCAACTTCTCGAGTCCGCCACTGACTAGTTTACAGAAACGTTTCTCGTCGCAAAGCTCCGCCAGTAGCTTCTGGTTCGTGATGTAGACTTCCCTTTTGCCACCAAAGGTCAGACCAAATATCGGCCCTAGATTCGTTGCGATGCGGATTAGAACTTGTTCAGCTATCATGGGTGACCACTGGGCCGAAACTTACCATTTTCTTTGCCAATTTTGATAAGCGACCCCAGACCATCGCTAAGGTCTATGTCCATAAGATTTCCTAGAAAAGGTAGTGCTTCGCAGTATTAGCTTTGGGGTTGCAGGTTGTCATAACACGGGGTATTGGGATTCTACCTGGTGGGCCAGGTATTTGCTTAAGCTTCTTGGAATTCGACAGTTGCTTCTGTCCTTGTTCCATCTTGGCTTCGGTAAACGCAAAAATGATACCTGAAATGATGATGAGTACGCAAGAGAGTTTGAGTATAAAGTTGAACAATAATAGAAGATGCCAGACAAGGGTGATGATGAGTATCATGGTGTGAAGGAAACAAGAGAAATCACAGTAATAAACACAAGCGATACCACGCATCTCAAATCACTGCGCGATGGGGCTTCGGCTTAGAAAAACATCAAAGCCCTTGTGAGTTACATGTACATGGAGGCCATCTGCCCTTTAAAGTGCGGTATACCATTTGCGGGGCCGCGGCCCGCGCGGAGGTGCGCGTTGCAGAGGTTATTAATGGCATGAAACAAGTGCAAACCTAGGTAGCCAGGCCATATCCGCTCTGCATTTGCTAGAGGGCTATCATAGAACTGAACCTTGTCTCCTTCCTTCGGCCTTTACTAAAATGCAGGACCGGAGTCCGCGGTGTTCGGTTGGAATGAGAGCGGTGATGTTGGGGTCGATGGTCCTCAGCCGCACTGCATAAGAAATACCCTAGTTGAAGAGAACGGGACGGCATTACGGCATTACGGTTCAGGGCGATACCACGTCAACGAGAACGAAGGGATAGCCCTAGAGTGGTCAATGGTGCACAAATCTAGACATATGGAATGGACTTGGTGCTTGGCAGATGAATGTATGTTTAGTGCTACGGGATAAGTACAGAGCATAATACAGGAGGTAGGCAATAGCTTTTTAGACTAAGATCTAAATCTATTACAAACTCGAGAGTGAAGTAAAACCGAATAGTAGTAGCTGTAGAGACATCTTGTTCTTCGCTACCATGCAGCACTCACGCCGATGCCGGCAGTTAACTGTCTATAAAATAACGATGCTTTCGAAGAAAAAAACATGAAAAATCCAACGAGGAGGAGACGCGAAATCGAAGAACATGATGGGACATCTACCCATTTCTCGTGACTATTGTGCTTCTATCGTCTTCTTTCTTTCCGAGGCCAGTTCAGCTCGAATCGAGGTGGACTGGTCGGTGACCCGTGGTCATACATCACGGAAAGTTCAAGTAAAAATGGTCTATAAAGCAGAAGGAGTTTTTTGTTTCATGGTATCGTAGGTTATAATGCTTCTCTCTATGCGCTATCTTCCGAATTCTCTAGATATTAATAATTAGTATATTTTAATTTAAAGTATTTCTAAAATTAGAAATTAGATTTTATAATATAAAACTAGTAATATTTTATAATATTAAGAGAAAAAAAATAAAGATAAAAATAATTATAAGAAAGAGAAATATAAAAAAGATATATATCTATAGAGAATTTTTTCCTTTAGCTAGATCTAATTAAAATCTATTTAATATTTAGCTAGAAATAGCTATATAATAATATATAGAGAGTAAAGAATAATATATATTATATTAAACTTAATATAATAATATAGAATTTATATAAATATTTTATTTATTATTTTTAATTATTTATTTTTTTTATTTCTAAAAGTTTTAATAAAACTTTTCTTTTAAATCTAATAAAGATTTTAATAAATTTAATAATAAATATAAATATAATAATAAAAATATAGAAAATATTTAATTTATTAATATTTATTAATAGTCTGGTAGTATAGTAGTTAAGTATCTAGGCTAGCCGGAAGATTATAATAAGCTAGGTAAATTAAGGAGAATACTAAAACTCTTATATAACCTGAAGGTTACTAGTTTAAGTCTAGCCTGGATTAAAGATAATAAAAGCCTAACTTTTATTATCTAACTAACCTTAAGGCAGACTACTTACCCTAGAGCCTACTTAAGATTTTCCTATTCTATACCTCCTATTAACTAAAAAATCCTATATTTTAAAAAGCCTAGAAAACCTAACTACCCTATACCTAAGAATAACTAAATTACTCTCTTATTTACCCTATATCTTTATAAAAATTCCTTATCTCTTTCCTATTAGGAAGGTTTTAACTCTAAAGAAAGTTTTCTTAAAATAAAGAAAAAAGTAAATATTCTAAAAATAACCCCTATTTATAGCCTAATATCTAGATAAGATTAGATTTATAAGAATATAAGAATATTATTATAATATTTATTAATAAAAAAAATATTTATTTAATTAATTATCTTATATTAAAATAAAAATTCTTTATATAATATTTTAAAATTTTTTATTATTATTTAAGTTTATTTAGATAATAAAATTTATTTATTTATAATTTATTATAAATAAATTTAACTTATAATTTAGATTTAGATTTATTTATATATATATATATATTTTTAAAAAAATTAAATCTATTCTCTATACTAAATATTTAAAATTACCTATAGATATCTAATACTAGTCTTTAAGTAAGTTACTATATATATATTATATATAGTTGCCTAGTCTGTTTTATTTTATTCCTTTTTTATAGATGATATTTAGTATCAGTATATCAGTTGAGGGCTTGGTGTAGGACTTTTTTTTACTATTATATGAGCATGAATAGCTATCAATTTAAACCAGAGATGATACTAAGGCAGAGTATGAGAAGGATCAATCATCACAAATCGCAGTCAGTCACGAGTCACGTGAATACAGGGGCACGCCTTCATCCTAAAACCCTGTTTATGCGCCAACATTGAAGCGCAATCTGCATCTCAGTCGAAGCTCACATAGGGATTCCTACACATGAGGTCGCTCCCCTCAACGCTCCTCTTCGCCTATTTGCCTCAACTGTTAGACTCCGATGCAAAGTTTCTGGCCTTACGACATACGGTCCAAAACGCGCCAAGCTTGACACGTGGGCTCTGCAATCAATCGACTCCCTCACCCTTCAAGCTAAATCTAACACGCTTCAATCTCTATTAATATCGAACACATCAGAGTCAACTTGACTAAAAAGCAAAGAACAGTTTATTTCTTCTATATGGCGACCACTGACCGGATGGAGGATACCCCTCCTATTCGCCGGCTGCTTCAAAACGCGAGACATCACTTGGAAGCCCAGCTAAAGCGAACAATCCCTCATACCGCTTACTCCAAGGGCAAGTCTGTCAGCAAAGCATCAGCGTTTGGCGAGATTGTGCCTCGAATTCGAATGCTCGGGAAGAAAACGGCCGATCGGCCTTCTCTAGATATACTGGGCCTCGAGCTTATCCTCATCATCTTCAATATGCTATACGAAGACCACCCGCGGTCAATGGGAAATCTCGCACTAGTCAACTCGTACTACCATTATTTAGCGCGGTATTGCCAGCATAGAAATGTCACGTTCGTCATTGAAAGCCCACATGAGAAAAGCTTCCATGATCGCTTGGCCTATATCGAGAAACATAGCTTGATACCTGCCATTCGAAGCATAAAAGTTCACGCCCCGGCAACAGAGGAAGACGAAGAATGCCTAGACGCCCTAGTTCAGTTGATGCAGAAAGCTGCAGGACTAAGGGATCTGGAATGGCAGAACACGACGCTGTACACACCATCAAACTGGAATCAGTCATCTTCCCTCCCACTTGTCATGTCAGTAGGCATTCCCGAGAAAGTCGTGCTGGCCCTACAGCCTGGAGGAAGCGTCCGATTTCATGCCAGCATTATTTCGTTTGATCGTGTCGTTGATCCTATACCGGATGCACGGATACCCGTGTATACCGCACCGCTCCTAAAAAGAAGTAACAGTTTGCATTCGCTCAGCATGGTCTTCACCTATAGTGATGAGGAAAGCTGTATCGAGTTTGTTCAAATTGCCAAACAAATTCTACTGTCCAGCCCAAATGTTCGAAAGCTTTGCATCGACTTTGGACCTCAGGGTGATGGACCTGTCTCATTCCCTCTACCGGCAAGCTACACCGGACTCGGATTTGTTGATGGCGAACGACCTCCAGCGCTAGAGAGTCTTGAGCTTATCAGGTATGAATTCGGATACAAAAAGGAGGTTGAACCAGGGTACATCAGTGGCAGCCATGTTGGCTACCCTGGGGACGGCAACGAGTCGGACTATTGGGCGGAGGTTTTCGACTGGTCCAGGCTCAAGCGTCTAACAATTAGAAATGTGGACTTTGCACTCAAAATAGCACCGAAACTCATTTCGATCCAGCATGTGGCGTTCGACAGACCCTGGGGCACTGAGAAAGTCGTGGATTTCTATCAATCAGTCCCAAATGCTTTGCAAAGTGTCATAATTCCCAGATTCAGTGCCCTAGGTCTAGATGGAATCACCAGGCATGGTGCTCAGCTAAGAGTACTTGAGATTCATCAAAAGGAGACAATGACTTGGGCCGACGAGACCATTAATGCCTCCTCTTTATTAACAATCCAACGAGAGTGCCCTCTTATAGAGGAACTAGCTCTCGATATCAGTCGAAATGGCGATTGGCCTTATGATGTTCTCGAGGTTCTAGCAGGCTTCCCAAAGCTACGAATTCTGACAATATGGTTTGAGATGGGCCGGGTAGGCCGTGAACCAGATGATATTGTTCAGCCGCTGGTGACCTATCCCGCCGTTGATGAGCTCTATCGCCACATCTGCTTGATACGCCCACGAACATTACCAGCCCTGAGCACACTCAAGGTACACTGTGGAGGCGGCAATGAAATTTCCGGCCGCTCTCTACCAGGCCTTGCTTGGGTGGAGATAAATAGATCCGGCTTCGTCTGTCAGCTCCTTGAGCGAGGTGATCAAGCTTCAGACCTTGTGTTCGATATAACTTGCCCAGCACTGAGCGACAAGGACAATTTAGTGCTATCACAGACGAGGAAACCACAAAAGTTGGGACGCTTCACTCGAAAGTCTCGTCCCCATGTTCGATTGATGACCGACGTCGAATTGGCCATGCTTGGGCCACCTCGCGTTGTTCCACCATCTACTTAGGTATTGAGTTAACTCTATCTAAAGCTTTAAAATACAGTTATTAGATCTAAACAGTAATCTGAAGAGAACCCTTCTAATATTATCGAGCTCCATTTCTCTTGTAGCTCCATTTCTCCTTCAGGACATAATGTCGCCATTCTAGAGTCGGCAAAAGAGCTACTAGATGTATATAAGTCCGCAATCACACATTACTACCAAGACAAAGACTAATAAACCTTCAGGTCGGTGCTGGTCTACAAGTCGCTCTTAACTGCACACGCATCCTTCAAAGATGGGATCTCCCTGACAGACTCTGGCAATCGGCCGCTGAACCCACGTCACTCGTTGTCCATCGATACTCCGGCCGAACGCTCGCCATAGAACCCGACTTCCACAAGCATATCCGCAAGAAGTACAGCGCCCCATTTATCGATGTCCATCGTGTAGACCTCCAGCTAGCGCGATACGACAAGGCGAAGGAACTAGGTTTCCAGTTTAAGCTCGGGGATAGAGTGAAGGACATTGACTTTGGCATTCCCGAGGTGAGTACCGAGGCTCGGGCTAAGTATACCGGTGACTTGATCGTTGCAGGGGACGGACTCTGGTCAAAGTGTCGTTCCAAGTTTCTTGGGAGTGAGGACAAGCCTATGCCCACTGGGGATCTAGCATACCGCGGTTTTCTGGATGTGAAGGATATCGACGACCCTGAGCTGTGAAGGGTCTATTTTTGATATCTTTGTAAAACCTGTTTGTAGTTATGTGTCGAGTCAATGCAATACGTCAACCCTTTATGAATGTTGGCATCATGTTGAATCACAGGGTTGAGCCTAGGTCCGTGGCGACCCGTTAGTCTAGGTACCGGAAGCCCTTTCTTGGGTTCTTGAAAAGTTGGCTTTCTCTAGCACTAAGATATAGTACAACTTATACCTTGTACCACTTCCTATTCTCCCGATTACTGCCGCTTCCAACAAGACTGGTCTGTGCCTGTGTAGTGCGGAATGGATCGACATGTTCAGCCACAAACTTATTGTTGTAATGTTGATTCGTATTCCGTCCACCGATCGGTTGGAGCTCGGTTTCGCTAATTGTCTGTCCATTGTCGCTGCTGTTCCAAGTGCTCGCATGTGTGGAAGGCGTATTGTCTTTTCGGTCGATGATTGCCTGGCTATCGCTATAATCCTGGACCTGAACGCTTACTTCGTGTGTGACGAAGATTCCACCCAAGCTAAAGTAAGGGCTGATGATCGGCCAAAATATCGGTATGGAGGCACATGCGCTCGCTACATGAACTTCGAGAACGCCGAGGAGAATCGATATAGGTCCGTACCAAGTGGGATCGTGGGTAGGATACCATCCTGCCTGGTATTTGATGATGGTCTGGAGACGCCAGGTAGAGAGGAAAGTAACACTGCAAACGTTAGCACCACGGCTATAGTGGCTTGAATTCGCATAGGCAACCGTACACTGCACCCAAAAAGAGCAACGCCAGCAATCCAAAGCGTGTCCTCGACGAAGATTGGGACTGGAAAAAGAGATGTGTCGGGATGGCAAGAATGTACAGATCGAGAACCATGTTCAAAACCGAATGCGCGATGAAAGTGGCTGTGAACTTGGTCGCCTCGCTAGAACCATATGCCCAGCATCTCGCGTCGGGCGGCGAGTACCAGAAGTCGGATACCGTAGAACAAGGGAAGAAGGCTAGAATGGCGAAGGCTACACCCCAGAAGGAAACAACGACAATGCCAAAGAGGCTGAGCTTGTAAGGTAACGATGACCGGTCAAAAACACGGAGGTATTGACATAGAAGGGAGAGTTTGATGAATGCCGCGGCCAGGTTCATGAATCCGTTGGTGAGATAGAAGGTGAATAGGTATCGTCCTACCTGTCCGACGGTTAAGAGTAGCAGATGTTGCCCAGTACCAAACTCGATTGCTTTTCAGAGTCAGACGAGATCTATAGTTGAGTTGTGTCTGAGCACTCTTACAAATAAGAAAAGCAATACTACCCAGAGTACCGCATAACTATCAGGTTACATTATCAGCTTCACATAAGAAGTGTTTATAGGTAAACGTGAGCCAAGTTGAAGAGGACTTACCAAGTATAAAATCACAAATGCATCATCTAACCCGAGTGACTTGACTACCCTCCACCTAACATACAGCCTGAATGAAACACAACTCCATGAGAGTACCTATAGCAGCGAATAATTAGTCGCTTAGTTGAAGCACATTGGCTAGAAGTCGTGGAGTACTCACCAAGAAAGTTGCGACAAGGCCCCTCAGTAACGGTGGATGATTTGAGGCAGGAATCGGCTCATCAAAATTATTATAGTCTTGGCCTATGAGGTCGAGCAACAGCGCATCCTCATCATACGACATGGCCAACGATTGTGCATAAGGCCAGCCATGAAGGTGAAAATGTAACCATTTTTTCGGAGCATTAGCGGGATGGCAGTTTTATCTACTCCGTAGCACAAGTGGAGTGACTGGAGAATGGAGCAAGGACCCTTGCCCCGTTGCATTGGGTGCTTTCATTCCATCACTGGATGATTTGACGCAGCAGGCAGGTTCTGATTGGATAACTGCAAGGGTGAGAATCCTAGAATTTTAGCAGATAGCGCTCGATTGCGACCCAAGGCTGTCGAATTGCATTGACATTACCGGCCCCCCCTCGGTCGTTTCGTACTAGTGGGCGTGATTCGGACGGACCAGGGCGCGGATCGGACTGTATTGCATTTCTAGGGCCTAGCGTGTTTGAAAACAAGGAAACCGAACCAGGGGCCATGCCTATAACACGCAATGAGGCCATAGTCAGGGGCAAATCCTACAAAGATGCCCTGCCTAGAGCAAAATCTGGGCAAAGTCTTGTAACACCGAAGTGATCGATGATGCCCTCACATGATGCCCAAGATTAGTATACGAAAAATACCGTTTTGTAAAAACAAATAAGCCAGAGTCCCTTGCAGCTTTAAATATGTACCGTATCAGAGATTGATATAAATTTAAGATATTTCAACAGAAATAGGTTTTTCTGGTGATAAGTCGGAGTGTTTTATCCTTCCTGCTCCTACCCTCTCATAGCTCCCTGGGCACATATCTGATATAGGCCGAATGAGCAGTATATAGTAATGCTCTGCCGCCACAACCAGATCATCCAACTTCTTATGTCCCAGTTTCACACACTTCCATGTCTTTCGGTTATAGTGACAATCTTCGGAATCCAAGACAACATCACCCATTGATTCTATGTCCTCGGACAAAAGGCCATGGGCTTCAGCATGTATAGTTGTAATGTCGATATTATCTGAAGAAATTGGCCCCGGTAAGATTTCCAGCCATGTAGCAGAACCAAAAGGAATATCCATAAACTGAATCTTTCCAGTACGAGACATCCAAGACCAAGACGGTGTGCGTTTAGATGGTTCTTTAGGCTGGGGTATCGCGGCAAGCCCACCTGGAGATTTTGCTTGCCAGAGGAGCATTCGGTGAAACGACTTCTCGAAAATACCGTAATGTGATCTGGACTTGAAAAACCGGGCTAATCGGGTTTCTATGCCCAAGATTGCCTTGGAGCGGTCACTCTCGTTGGTCAAGTCAAGTGTACTGTAAAACTCGTACAAATGCTGAACAAGTCGAATGCGCTCATCCTTGTAATATTCAAGGCTTGAATGAGGGAAATTTGAGTCCCCGAGAAATTGGGACTGAGTGCTGCAGATAAAAGAAAAAGAAGTCAGAGCTAACACTAGGGAAAAGTGACTGATTCATCTTTGGGCTCAACTCACTTGTGCAGCTGGGCCAACGTCTCGCAATGAACTCCTTGTCCGCATTCCCAGTAGACTTGTGTAGAAGTGAAATGGATTGTGCGGCGGGCTAAAACTCTCTCCTGAAGCACCCACCCCCGCGTGTTTAATAATCCATGTTCAACATCATCCTGAAAATTATCGATTGCTTTGGCCAAGTGCAATGGTCCTTCTTTGGCTTGGACAGTGACACACGGGCGGGGTTGTCTATAATTCAAGAATCCTTCAAGGGAGGAGGCGGCCGATGTGGCTGCTATGACACAGTATGCTGAGCTAAAGACATCTTCCATTCGGCTGGATTCAGTCTCCCAGTCGTCTGCGTTTCCTTGGATGATGCATAACGAATCGATCCAGAGGTATTGAACCCCTATGGCGCGGGTCACCTTCACTGCGTCCTGGAAGGTTTTGGGCATTGATGTGAAGGGAATGTTAGTTCTGAATCTTTCAATATTAGAATCGTAAGTGCAGAATTGGCTATGTGTAGAACGATCTCCCCATCGATGGCTGAGAGCAACGTATTTTTGTTGAGCCAACTTCCTAGGTTCTTCAAGACGAATTTGGTCACTGCCAACGTTGAGAAGCCTTGTGGGCAATGCACTGTCATGTTTCCTGATAGTTCCTGCCTTGGGAAAGCAGTCATGATTGTTGTCACATGTCTTGATCCACTCATTGAACAATTGATACTGGTTAGAACTGCCTATTATAGGGAGACGAGGAAGGCCGGGTGAAGAATATGGCTGATTCTCCGATTTCGAATCTGTCAGGCGTGTCAGCTTACGCTAGGGTTCAAGAAAAAAAAAGCGTCAACGTACTTGGGTCAGAGTAAATCGTGATGAGAGAGCGGCCGTAAGGAGACAGGCGCAACGAGAAAGAGGCATCATCTCGATATAGAGTGATCGGCTTTCTTTCATCCAGGCTGTTTGAAAGGCAATTGAAAAAGAATTGACATAGAGCACAAGATGTAGCAGAACCTTTCAACTCGTCAACGTTACGGCCGAGTTCCCACTCAGGTTGTTCGAAGTCCATAATTCTACAAACCTGACAGAGATTGGTGTCTCTTGTGGGAGGGCAATGAAACGACCAACCGATTCGGTTGATGATTTGTTTCGTTAACTGCCTGTTTGTAACGTTAACCCATTCATCTCCGAGTTTGCTTGTATGCTACAGAACTTAGTTCAAAACGCCTATCTTTAAGAGGATCGAGGAATACCATAGGCCTATACCTACAGGCTGTAGAAAATTTAGTTATTTTCGCCACAATTAAAGATGGGTTGCTCACATTCTTCAAATCCCGGCGACTTGCAGTCAGTAACTGGATCAGGGAAAGATCCTATTGGGGTGGGATACTCACATACTATCAAGAGTCAGTTAACCTGTCCCCAGCTGCGTAGAGGTTACTTGCATTTCGAGTGAAGCTCTGCGTGGAACTTTCGGCTTCAGGCTTAGGATCGAGGTCCGCATGGCCCCCGGCCACATGACCCGCCTTCGAGGGATTCTCTGGGCTGAGCTTGCCTTCATTTAGGGCTAGGGTTGCACATATCTCTTTAAATTTGTACAACAGTCCATTGTTTAGCGTTCGCCTCTGGTTGGGATCGGGAACGAGCATGTTTTTGCGAACCAGATCGGCCAAATCGTAAACAATCGGATACTTTGACCAGCGTAGTTTTTCAACCCATTTATCAACTTCTGGATGCACGAATGCGTTCCTCTCTTTTCCAAATTTTAGTTGCCAGAAGCGTTTCCTGTCCTTTCGTTGCCAGAAGCGTTTCCTTTTTTGGTCATCATACTCGAGAGCTCTGCGAAAATTGCAGAGTTCATCGTAGCCGGACTTAATCCAAATGAGGAACTCTATGAAGACACACCCTATCGACCAATTGTCGTAGTATCTGGAGATCTTCTCATTAAGTGGTTCTGGGGGTTCATAATCCTCTGTGCTATGCTTAGTTGAGGTGATCTTCTGTCGGTCCTTCGTATAGTCTGTGTGGAACTTAGCAAGGCCGACATCTGCAAGGACCAGTTGTCCCAGCTGTGATGAGCTGTTGGGGAAATGAAGAATATTCGGTGGCTTCACATCTCCATGGCGGATGTTCTCCTCGTGTAGTTTGTCTAATCCTCCGAAAAGGCCAAGCATTTGGTTGATGGCCCAGCGTATCAGGTCGTCATCACGCTTGTCTTTATAGTTATACCAGAAATCGTCGAGATTGCCTCCCTCTGCCCAAGGGAACACAAAACATCTCTCGGTGCCTCTCTTATAGATAGCAACTGACCGGATCAAATGAGCGTCATTTAATGCTCCCATCTTTTTCAATGTCTCGGCTTCTATTTCGTAGAATTTCTCAGTGTCGGTGCCAGACTCTTTGTTAGTATTGGCCCTCAATGTCTTCACCGCAACATTCATTCCTTCTGGAGAACTTGGCCACTATGACATTTTGTTAGAACAGTGCTATGCATTGATAGTAGATGTAAGACGTGTCGCTTACATGGTAACTAGTCTCGAATTTGTAATGATCGGGATGAATCAGTGTCTTTCGTACAGTACTGAATCCGGAGTTGATAACAAGGGTCTTCTTCGGAACGAGATATGGAAGCGGTTGTAACCAATGGAAGTCATACATTAGCTCCGTGTTGTCGCTTTCGAATACAGGAGCCTGAAAGATCCAATGTTTTATATAGAAATGATCATGTTCTGAGAACGTCATGACGGGTTTGCCATCCCTGTGCATCAATCGGGATGGTATGCGACTATCCCGATCCCATTCACCATTGAATTTACCATAAACCTTTGTCGTGGCTTGAATTTCATGATCAAACAGCTTTTTGTCATTGAGAGGATGGGTCAAGACCCGGATAAAGGAGTGGCCTCCGGTGCAGACAAGGGTCAGAAAGACTTTTGGCGCATCTGCCACGACCTTCTCAGCGGTCTCCTCGAGCTCCTTAGACATGCCCTCCTTTGAAAGCTCCACAATGACGGCATCCTTTGTTGCCAATTTTGTGATGTCGCCGGCCGGGACAAACGCCTCGTAGAAACTCGGGTCATGTTTTCCGTCTGGATTTTTGCGCTTGCTTGCAATGATCTCAGAGAATTCCAGTGGTACCTTGGACATAATGTAAGTTACTGAGGAGATACAATTCAGAAAGTGAGAATGTCCATGGTTTTCGAATTTGAAGATAGTTCTGGGGCTTGAAAGCGATAGATAGACCAGAATATCGTTCGGGTCTAGAAAATGAATCGTGAGCCCTTATTATATGAAGATCAACACCTATCGGTTCCTTTTGCCACATGAAAAAAAAACTCCTGTTGTCAAAAGCCTCGTAAGGCGTCCGTAAGGCAGTAGTGCATCTATTAATTTTTAATGCAGCCCAAATACCCCATTAATAGTGCCTGGCCTACCGATCATTGGAACATCGCGTTGTAGCTTAAGAAAAGGAGAAAGGGTGCCATTTTCTATTTTCTTGCTTAGGTACCTCGACGTGGTTCAATTGTTCAGGGTATCTATCAAAGCCCAACTCTCATCATCCAATGAAACTACCTGATGGTCATGTCATCGCAGACACAGCCGGGGGGATAACTAGCTGAAACAGTTCAAATAATTAAAAGGTGACAAATGTGCGCCTTTATGGTAGGTATGCAATCGGGGTGCATTCTACCTCGGCCCAACCATCCAACGTACAAGCTGAGCAGCAGCCTGCACGTCCATGAGGGGCGCAGCGTTGGGCACCCCATATGACATGATATTGTTACAGTGGGAACTATGAACTCTTTAAAAGGCATCCCGTCTCTGTATGAATGTTCCAGTAATATTTATTCGTCAGCTTCGGCGCCTTCATGCATGAGGCCACCACCATATTTCCGCCGCCCCTCCTCATTCAGCCTAAACAAAACCACGTGCCCCAGTTCAGGTCAGATTATGCCCAATTAATAACTTATAACACCCTTCAACAAAGCCGCGAATTCCCGTAAATCTTACATGCTTGACGCACGGATGAGTGTGGCCCGAAGTATGATGTAACATGAGTGGGAAGCCAATTGCAACGTCATCAGACTTTCATTGTCGCTTCACGACCACAATGTATTCGTCGTTTCGCATCTTGACGCTGCGTATCTGGAGGCTATGGGAGCGGCAGAACTTTCGAAGATTTCGGACAAGGAGCTTTGGGTTTGTAATGTCTGTTGCTGGAATTCGGCACTCCTCGAACATGGTCATCACGATGTATTGTTGAATGTGGAATGGAAAGCTGAGAACGAAACGATGATCCACTGGCTCATGAGCCTTAAAGTTGATGAGCAGGAGCGGTGAGAGAGGGAAAAGTTAACCATCGGGAGGTGACCTTTATTACGCCCTTGACTCTCGTCCAGCATCCGACCTGACACCTGATGGCGACAAAACCAGTCAGCTGAAAATTAGTCTGCCTTGGCGAGAACGCCACACAATATCTGACTGTCCATAAATTGCCTCAACTGAGCAGTTGCATCCACACAAAAGTGAAGGAGGGTTGTCGGCGAACCACGCGACCCAACTGCAAAGCGGCGGACGCCCCGTTTTCCCTCCCTTTTTTTTTTCGCACTGTCGTGGAAGAGCGCTTTCAAAGCACTCTCTAGTCATCCAAGGCTGTCAGATATGACCTTCTTTTCACCTATGAGCGAGAGTTATCTCCGCTAAATCCCTGTGCTTACAGCTACCGCTTGAGATTCGTTAGTATAGCCGTAAAGGCGGCTCAATCAAACTCCAAGTACAGAAGTTCTTCCTTACAAATTGGATCAGACTTTAAGAGAAACCATGATCTAGACGAGTTACCAAATGATTACGACTCTTACTAACGTGAGAACTGCTGAACAGCATTACATTGTTGCGTTAGCCTTTCCCCGCCACACTGATGTTTGTCAAAGAATAGCTAGAGGATCAGTTCCATCGTCTTCGAAAATAGAGTCCTCGTAATAAGATTTCCAGGAATGCCTCGTCCATTTTGAGATGGTGAGATATGTACTCTTGGTTCGGCGTTCAGGGCTTTTCGATTTCAGCTTTCAAGAGGGAAGTCAGCGGATTGCACCATTAACCACAGATCATGGCAGGAGAAGGGGGTTTGAAATGCAAAATGATCTAATTATAATTCCTCATTGCCCCCAATTTCAGCTTCTCTGCAAGCTACTGTAGGTTGGGTAACAGTAGATTGTGGTCTCCGCCTCGGCGGCGCCTATCTTAGCCGCAGAATTGAGATGGGGAGGTTGCAACAAGGCTCGCACTGTGATCCGACCATCCATTATATTTCATTTCAAGCAGAATGAATCCCAATCAGTGACTTCAAAAGTCATACCAATAGTTACACCAACCTATCCCCCTCCGCATCCTACCTACCATTGATACATTCCGGGGCTGCTTTGATAAGTTTGTGCAATCAATCAGCAGCCCGTCTCGCCTACCTCCATTAATCCATACCTGACATTCTATATATCCAAGAAATATCTATTCGATGACGAAAAATATCATCACTGGCCTGGGCTTCGACCACAGGGCGAACCTGATAGCCGCCAAGCGATATTTCTCGAATGCACTCCCCGAAAGCATTGATCTACGCACGGCTCTAACTCTTGAGACCCCTTTCGTACGCATGTTTCCTCCTAAACTTCCATTCAGAGCAAGATAATTAAAACCGTATCACAGAACGAGTACTGCTACGGGTTGATTCGGAAACATCTTAAAGTAACCGCCGTGAAAAGTGAATTTCTCCCGATAGGTGCAATGGAGTCCATTTTCGAATCGAGAAACGTCCGAACAGTCGTTTTCCAGACGTTCCCAAATTCCTGTAAGGACAGAATTCACCTCGATATATCTGGAAGCAAGAAGGGCGGACGAACGCGGATATTTGCAACCCTGATTCGGATGTGCAAACCGGAGCACATAACTCGCTTTATCAACGCCGACATCTATGACAATGACCTACCACTAAGTCAAGAAGCACTTATAAGGATCATGGCTAATAAATTTGACGCTCCTGTCTCTTCAGATGGCGAATCCACTAAATGGAGGCCGTTTGATGTAGACAACTTTATGCGTGAGCAGCACGTATTGCTTGCTCCCTTTCTCTATCTTAATTGCCAGACTATCCAACATTATACTTTTGGAAATAAGATAGTAATGCCCTTCCTTAAGAAAAAGCCAGTAGGGAGGGGGGGCCACGGGCAAATCTTCAAAGTCCAGATTCATGAAGATCATCACTTTTGCGAAAGCCATCAAGTAAGTGACGTTTATTCCCAATCTTTGATGACCGATGAAACCTAAATGAGACCGTACCCAGGGATGGGAATTTTCAGGACCATACTATGCCTTGAAAAAATTTGAGGATGAACATCGTCAGCAATTTCTAGATGAGAGACAGGCACTCTTGCACTACAGTGGGCAGCGGACGGGGCACGAACACCTCACTCGACTTCTAATGACGTACCAGATTGAAATTGGCGAACGTATTGAATATTTCATGATATTCCCTTGGGCTGAATGCAACCTTGAGCAGTACTGGACTACGAATCCCAACAATCCTGCTGACCATGAGCAGCGGAGGTGGCTTCTCGAACAGTGTCGTGGGCTTGCCAATGGGCTCAGAAATGTCCATAAGCACCCTAGTTTACTTAAAAGAGCAAGCATTAATGGTAATGGTGTGCAAGACCGAGGCCGGCATGGAGACTTGAAGCCCCAAAACATTCTCTGCTTCAAAGTCCAGGGGGAGTCGGGAATCTCTCAACATCGTTTAGTCATCGCCGACTTTACCCTCATGCGCTTCCACTCCGTATATTCGATCGACAGGCCGGAAGAATACACCGTGGGTTTCTCACGTACATACCGCCCGCCTGAAATTGATCTTGGAAAGAGGGCTAGGATCAGCCAGTCTTACGATGTGTGGACGCTAGGTTGCGTGTACCTAGAGTTTATCACTTGGCATCTGCTTGGGAGTGATTCTCTAAATAAATCCTTTCAATTTGGAGATAATCCAAAGCAGGGCTTTCGATGCCTAAGGGAAATGGAAGATTTCCAAGGGGCTGATCACCCTGAGGATAAATATTTCAACATTGAAGAAGAAGGAGATCGCCGCAAAGCAGTTGTGAAACCATGCGTGGCAAAAGTAAGTCTTCACCATCCTTCATCCATTCTCATGTTTTGACTAAACTTTCTTACGCCAGTGGTTTACATTTCTACGTGGACTAAAAGCTTGTACTCGACCAATATATCACTTTTTAAATTTCATACAGCATCGCATGCTAGTGGTGGAGACAGAGCATGAAAAAAGACAAACAATTGACATTGTTTGCAGAGAGTTGCATGATATTCTCAAGATGCCAATAGTAAAAGATGACCCGAGCTTCGCAAGCAGCCCGAAATCTCCCGAGGCTGTCAAGGACTTTCCTCCGCCTTTTGATTCGGAGGTATGTGAAATTCAATATACTTATTCACTGTAGAGTATTTTTCATTAACAACGAACAAACAGGTTGAAAGAGAATTAGAGGATCGGGCGAATTTCCCAGATACAGAACTCTCTACTCGCGTTGACGACGAGTCAGGCTCGGATGACAAAGTCTTTTCACGGGCACTTATTGGCCGGAAACACGAAAAGAAATCGGACTCATCCAAATCAGCCAACAAAACGAGCCCAGACTATCTGGATAACCCCGGCAAGGAGATGCCTCCGATCACATCCAGTGCAAGGTCCTCCCCAAGACGCACGCGAGAGGATGTAAAGGATAATGTAGCATCATCTGATTTGCTCAATGGATCCACACAGAGCAGTGATTTCACACGCCCAATTACACCACTCAGTGATATTAGTCTCATCCATGGAGGGGGGGCATCAAAGCGAAAGCGGAAGGATGAAGACGAATCCGGCGATAGTGCGGCTCAATCGAATGCAACAAAGAAGAGAAACATGGGCAACCAAATCAAGAGAAGATCATTGAGGATCAAACAGAGACCCCGGGATAGTTAAGTACATGTGTCACTGGAGGTGGGTGGATTGTAGGATACGGACGCTATGAAGGGGTAGTATATTTCTATTTCATTACTACTACACATCTTTCCTTATCGTTCATAACCAGCTTTATCTTCTATAAATATTAGTCTTGAGCCCTGGCTTAGATTCTGCTTGGTAATATAAACCAAGACAACATCCCCTATGCTGTTATTACGAAGTTCCGTTGATCAGATTTAAGTTGGGTAATTTAATCCGGTATATCCATAACGGCGGTGAGAGAACTTCAAAATAGGAGGAAAGAAGGAACTAGAGTTTCAAAAAGCTTATATGAGGGTCAAGGCAAGGGAGGGACTTCATGCACGTTCAATACCGGAACTTTCTGCTCACCTATGGTGCCTTAGCTGGAAGATTGGTGTGGATGCGTGACGGCTGATAGTGGTTTTGCGAACATCAGAATCTATAATTCTCTATGATAGATCAAATACGCAATACTCTAGTATTTTAGCCATTAGTATCCATCTCTGGCCTTCCCATCTAAATCTGTTCCATTGGCAGTGGCTAGCTCGCGAGTCATGCCTGACTCGATTGCCGCCAAGTCAGTAGCAATAGATACCAGATCAAACCCTTGTTGAGCGCGCTCCTGAGCTTGTTGGCCATTTGTGCCTATTAACCCCCTATTAGTTCACGGTGCTTCCCTGAAGAGCTATATCGATGTGTGTGAAGGACTTACAGAAAATTGCAGCTTTCTTGCCTGCCGCCTTAGCTGCCTTGAGAGTTCTTTGAATTGCGGCCTCGTGCTCTTCGCCGCCTCGGACCACGTTCATTTGCTTGGCCAAATCAAAGGGACCTAGAAGATCGGGTCCTCTCATTAATTCATAGCTCTTTCAGACAAAATTCTCAAGCATTGAGTTCAAACTTACCAATAAGGAGAACGTCCAAGCCTGGCGTCTTGGCAATCTCCTCCACTTGCTCGACTGCTGACCTGGACTCAATTTGCACCATGACCAGCAAGCTTTGGTCAGCCGAGTCGTCGTACTGGCCTCCAGACACTCCAGGAAGCGAGTGAGGAGCGAACATGGGCCCGTATCCGCGAGACCCAACGGGCGGGTACTTGCAGTAGGATACAATACGCTTCGCATCCTCCTACGGTTGCCAAATATCATGGTTTAGAAAGAACTCGTCATCTGGTAATGGAGTACAATTTGGGTGGGAGACGTACTGCAGAATGGCACATGGGGGTCAAAATTCCGTGTGCGCCAGAGTCAAGAGCCCTCTTGATCATCCATTCCTCATGCCAGGGAACACGGACGATGGGTGTAGCACCCTCTGAGGCAATAGCCGTGGACAGCTAGGGAATGTAAGCTTAACTCTCCCAAGCGCGGGCCTGAACAGTGGCAAGCACACCTCATAGTAGTCCTTATCCGATATTAAGCCATGCTCGGCATCGATCAACACCCAGCTAAAACCCTTGAATGGGGCAAACTGTCCAGAGCGAAGAATTACGCGAGCGACTGGCGCGCTTGGTAGGCTATGAGATGAGACGGATTATTAGTGAGGGGTTCTTAAAACATTTCCAGGTCTTCAAGATGTTATGCTGAAGAAACGGATAAGCAGTAGAGGGACTCACGTGAGCCAGAAGCCCCAGGCCGTAGGCTGGCTTTGGAGGGATGCTTTCAGAGGGGTGTCAAACGGCATTTTGGGGTCGAGAATGGTGTATATTGGATAAATTGTTCAACGTAAGAGTTCCTGCGAGATTTAGTAGGGGATCAAATGAAAGAGAAAGGTGCTGAAGTGCTCGGCATGAAGCAAGCGGGCTCCTTTTCCGGAGCGGGGTGTCTCGACTGTGGAGCTCGGCCTAACGCCATACCGAAGTTACAGGCAGAGGAGGGGTCACATGTGTGTCCTATGTCGGAGGTTTCACCGCGAATGCGAGTCTCGAGAGTCCGTTTGCCGGCCAGGATTGACGGTTATCCGATGTTGTACGGCAACGCCCTCCAGGGGCGGAACATACATATAGCGAGCCAGAACACACGGCCATGACACCTTCAGCATATGCTAAGCACGCACAGGCACTAGTGTAAAATACAGATATTTAGTGAACAAGAGTCACAATATGTTTTAAAGCGGTAGATCTTATAATTAGCGAAGTCTATCAAATCCGGTGCAATTGATATCCGCTTATGCAATAGACGACATTTAGAGCTAAAACTGTAGCTCTACCTTCCTCGATGCTTCATTTCTGTTAGATAAGTCTACTGTACATATTTCAATTAACTCGGAAAGATCCTGTATTGATTTGGTATGGGCAAGCGTAATGCAAGTAGCCCAAAGGGAACTTCGTGGTATGTCGGTATCCAAAAGCGGTTTTCATCAGCACCACCTCGCCGATGTCCTCGTAAGAGTTCGAGTATAAAGCGAAAGAAAAACAGCAATGAAAGAGGCTAGAGCTGACATCTCAGCACAATGGCGCTGCTGCCCGCAGCTGCCTAAGACGGGTCATTATAGGGGGGGCATTTTTCATGTTGGCTCGAGCTCTCGAGACTTGATAAGAAGCATCTAGCTCTCTCTATAAGTTGTGGTGGCTTGGAGCTAGCATGGTTCTATATGGATTTCGTATGAGAACCTGAATCTATCTACGAAAGAAACTGAGTTTATATTGACATAAGTCGCTGACTCAGATGCTAGCCAGAAGCCACTGAAACCCGATTACTCAACCTTAACGCAGGGCGGCACGTTCTTCGACCCAAAGGGCCGTGCGCAGACATGATTACAGAGGATCGAAGTATCCGAAAAGACCAGCTTTGGAGAATGACTCGAATCTAATAAGCTCACTCACCATAGTTTCATCATTTTATTAATCGAAAAAAAATTCCCTCTACATGTCAGATTGACAATACTATGCGATCAGCCCAGGATGCTCAGTGTTTTAATAGTCGAGGTGACAACACGCTTAACGTTAGTTAGTATACCCGGTCACTCTTCGAATGATATAAATAAAGTGAACTCTGCTTGCGTTGGGGGGCATGATATACACTTTGTCAGATTTTGATATACAGGTGAAGGCAGAGCATGAGATCGAGCGTTGCTGGTTACGAAAGCGGAGAAGGTCGCTGCTACCCCTGTGGTGTAAGAACATACTCGACGGCCTTTAAGTTTACAACTCAAACTCACAAATAGAGTGATATCTGGTCTATCTCTAGCAAGGGGATACAGTCTCTCGCCTCTTGCTATCTTGGTGGCCTCTCTCCGCCCTGAGCCCACGATCTCAAAAGTATATGTAGTGCCTAAGAACCAAAATAACGCCATCACAGGCCAAGCTAGAGGTGACCAATTGAAGCGAGATATTAAGAGAGGACTTTCTTATCCTATTATCTAATAAGGGTATACTTGTTCGTTGAAAGGAGAAAAGGATATCACGTGATATATCCCAATTTGGCCACCGCGTCTTGAAGGAAGTGCCGAGCCGACAGCACAGCAATTTTAAGCCTATCTGGAGAGCTGTCCGACCGAAATTGGAGGCAAACATGACTCTCAAATTGAGACAGTGCTCAACAACAGCACAAGGTCTCATGGCCCAATGGCAAGGCGTCTGACTACGAATCAGGAGATTGTGGGTTCGATCCCCACTGAGACCTCTTCTTTTGCCTTTTTGAATGCCTTCCCCACACTAGGCTCGCAGCGAGTTTAAATTCCCCTTTTATTCTTATTACTTCGTTGAATAAGAAGATCGCTATAAAAACAAATGAGTATTATATATAATATATTCAATCCTAGTTATTAATATTTTGCCTCTCTTTGTAACGCTTCTGGTAAGTAGATTTGCGGTTACAAGAGTGTAAAATGAACGTGCGACTGATTCTGACCGTTGAAAAGCTTTAATCAAATGACCCTATGTACTTCCCTGATCGCCAATGGGGTCAGAGACTAGCAAATTATTTTCTATCACGAAATAAAAAAAGGCTAGGCTAATGAGAATGCGCTTTAGAGACGATTTAAATGACAGATTACATCGGATTTACTCATCCGAGTGAACATGTGAGATGTATATAGGGTAGGTGAGAAGGGACGAGTAAAATGCCGTGTATTGAGTCATGAAACAAGGTCGCCAAGGAATGCTAGGCGGTCTGAATACAAGCCTAGTCTTGGGAGGACCTCAATCTAGTACAATGAATATATAAGACAGCCGATCCATGATACATTATTATGAGTGTAATTCTCGCATCGGCCGCTTAGCTGACATCTTGCGAGGATCAAGGCCGGGATTGCCCATAGCGACAGCTACAGCGCCCTGGTGAGGCCCCGTGGCGGCGTTACAGCGGGCCAGCAGCTCCAGCCAACTAAAGCAGCTGGATTCAGCGCTTACATGATCGCTGTGGGCCGCGGGAATCAATATTGCATTTTCTCGCAAGTTGGAACCAATAAGAACGTATGCATCCACCTGGATTCAATTGAATTGAAGCTGCTCCTCCAGCCAGCAATTACCATCGTGAACCGCACCCTGCCACCGTTCAATCCACACTGTACAGCGCTCACTACACCACGTTCGTTATCACCAATGCCCACCACGTCTCGCCCTCGCCCATGAACCACCGCGCGAGTCTGCGTCGCTCATGCGATGCCTGCGCCAAATCCAAGCATTCCTGCGACCTTCGCACGCCCCAATGCTCGCGATGCATCAAGCGCAAGGTCCGCTGCGTCTATGCCAACCAGCCTCTAACCTCATCATCCTCGTCATCCTCCGTCACCGCCCGCACGCCGCGCCAGGTCACCAAATTGGCTTTGAAACATGACACATCTCTTCTTCCAGCATCTCCGAGACGAATGGATTCCGTTCTCGCAGACAACGTCCTTGAGCTGTCTAAGCCGGTAGATCCGTCATTTGATCCTTTCGACTCGTACCCGCCCACCAGGCTACCCCGGGCTCATGTCCAACAACTCATCCACCATTGTGCGTGATTCCCTTTCAGATGTCAACTCGCTGAACTGACAACCACTTTTCAGTTCTTTCCAGCATT